CGAGTCTATGGGTCTCTGTGTGAGTCTATGGGGGACTCTCTGTGTGAGTCTATGGGTCTCTTGTGCGAGTCTATGGGCCTCTGTGTGAGTCTATGGGTCTATGTGTGAGAATATGGGTCTCTGTGCGAGTCTATGGGTCTCTGTGCGAGTCTATGGCTCTCTGTGCGAGTCTATGGGTCCCTGTGTGACGAGTCTATGGGTCTCTGTGTGAGTCTATGGGTTACTGTGTGAGTCTATGGGTCTCTGTGTGAGTCTATGGGCCTCTGTGTGAGTCTATGGGTCTATGTGTGAGAATATGGGTCTCTGTGCGAGTTTATGGGTCTCTGTGCGAGTCTATGGCTCTCTGTGCGAGTCTATGGGTCCCTGTGTGACGAGTCTATGGGTCTCTGTGTGAGTCTATGGGTTACTGTGTGAGTCTATGGGTCTCTGTGTGAGTCTATGGGCCTCTGTGTGAGTCTATGGGTCTATGTGTGAGAATATGGGTCTCTGTGCGAGTCTATGGGTCTCTGTGCGAGTCTATGGCTCTCTGTGCGAGTCTATGGGTCCCTGTGTGACGAGTCTATGGGTCTCTGTGTGAGTCTATGGGTTACTGTGTGAGTCTATGGGTCTCTGTGTGAGTCTATGGGCCTCTGTGTGAGTCAATGGGTCTATGTGTGAGGATATGGGTCTCTGTGCGAGTCTATGGGTCTCTGTGCGAGTCTATGGCTCTCTGTGCGAGTCTATGGGTCCCTGTGTGAGTCTATGGGTTACTGTGTGAGTCTATGGGTCTCTGTGTGAGTCTATGGCTCTCTGTGTGAGTCTATGGGTCTCTGTGTGAGTCTATGGGCCTCTGTGTGAGTCTATGGGTCTATGTGTGAGAATATGGGTCTCTGTGCGAGTTTATGGGTCTCTGTGCGAGTCTATGGCTCTCTGTGCGAGTCTATGGGTCCCTGTGTGACGAGTCTATGGGTCTCTGTGTGAGTCTATGGGTTACTGTGTGAGTCTATGGGTCTCTGTGTGAGTCTATGGGCCTCTGTGTGAGTCTATGGGTCTATGTGTGAGAATATGGGTCTCTGTGCGAGTCTATGGGTCTCTGTGCGAGTCTATGGCTCTCTGTGCGAGTCTATGGGTCCCTGTGTGACGAGTCTATGGGCCTCTGTGTGAGTCTATGGGTTACTGTGTGAGTCTATGGGTCTCTGTGTGAGTCTATGGGCCTCTGTGTGAGTCAATGGGTCTATGTGTGAGGATATGGGTCTCTGTGCGAGTCTATGGGTCTCTGTGCGAGTCTATGGCTCTCTGTGCGAGTCTATGGGTCCCTGTGTGAGTCTATGGGTTACTGTGTGAGTCTATGGGTCTCTGTGTGAGTCTATGGCTCTCTGTGTGAGTCTATGGGTCCCTGTGTGATTCTATGGGTCTCTGTGCGAGTCTGTGGGTCTCTGTGTGGGCCTGTGATTGGCTCATCACTCACACCACTTGTTTGCCAAGCCGCTTGTTGACTTGCCGCTTCACTGGCTAGCTCGCAGGCTCCGTGGCTCACTCGCTAGTTGGGGCCAGCGGTTGAGCCGCGTGTTGTGCCCCGGTGACTCATGTCGATCTGCTCCGTGCTCTGTGACGGCTCAATTAGGGACCCACCATCGCCCACCGCCACTGCGTCTATAAATACCCGCGCGGTTTACCTCATTCTCTATTCAATTCTCTGGCTGCAATTTAGACGTGAGGTGAGGGTGTTTCGTGTGTGTGTTGCGTGTGTGTTTGTGTTCCGGGTGTGTGTGCGTGTGTTCCGTGTGTGTGTGTGTTCCGTGTGTGTGTGTGTGTGCGTGTGTTGCGTGTGTGTGTTCCGTGTGTGCGTGTGTTCCGTGTGTGTGCGTGTTCCGTGTGTGTGTGTGTTCTGTGTGTGTGTGTGTTCCGTGTGTGCGTGTGTTCCGTGTGTGTGCGTGTTCCGTGTGTGTGTGTGTTCTGTGTGTGTGTGTTCCGTGTGTGTGTGTGTTGCGTGTGTTCCGTGTGTATGTGTGTTCCGTGTGTGTTCCGTGTGTTGCGTGTGTGTGTGTGCGTGTGTTCTGTGTGTGTGTGTGTTCCGTGTGTGCGTGTGTTCCGTGTGTGTGCGTGTGTTGCGTGTGTGCGTGTGTTCCGTGTGTGTGTGTTCCGTGTGTGTGTGTGTTGCGTGTGTTCCGTGTGTGTGTGTGTTCCGTGTGTGTGTTCCGTGTGTTGCGTGTGTGTGTGTGTGTTCCGTGCGTGCGTGTGTTCCGTGTGTGTGTTCCGTGTGTGTGTGTGTACCGTGTGTGTTCCGTGTGTGTGTGTGCTCCGTGTGTGTGTGTTCCGTGTGTGTGTGTGTTCCGTGTGTGTGTGTTCCGTGTGTGTGTTCCGTGTGTGTGTGTGTGTTCCGTGTGTGTGTGTGTTCCGTGTGTGTGTGTGTTCCGTGTGTGTGTTCCGTGTGTGTGTGTGTTCTGTGCGTGTGTGTGTGTTCTGTGCGTGTGTGTGTGTGTTCTGTGCGTGTGTGTGTGTGTTCTGTGCGTGTGTGTGTGTTCTGTGCGTGTGTTCCGTGTGTGTGTGTTCCGTGTGTGTGTGTTCCGTGTGTGTGTGTGTTCCGTGTGTGTGTGTGTTCCGTGTGTGTGTGTGTGTTCTGTGCGTGTGTGTGTGTTCTGTGCGTGTGTGTGTGTTCTGTGCGTGTGTTCCGTGTGTGTGTGTTCCGTGTGTGTGTGTGTTCCGTGTGTGTGTGTGTTCCGTGTGTGTGTGTGTTCCGTGTGTGTGTGTTCCGTGTGTGTGTGTTCCGTGTGTGTGTGTGTTCCGTGTGTGTGTGTGTGTTCCGTGTGTGCGTGTGTGTTCCGTGTGTGTGTGTGTTCCGTGTGTGTGTTTCGTGTGTGTTTGTTCTGTGTGTGCGTGTGTTCTGTGTGTGTGTGTTCCGTGTGTGTGTGTTCCGTGTGTGTGTGTCTGTTCTGTTTGTGCGTGTGTTCCGTGTGTGTGTGTGTTCCGTGTGTGCGTGTGTGTGTGTTCCGTGTGTGTGTTCCGTGTGTGTGTTTCGTGTGTGTGTGTGTTCTGTGTGTGTGTGTTCCGTGTGTGTGTGTTTCGTGTGTGTGTTCTGTGTGTGCGTGTGTTCTGTGTGTGTGTGCGTGTGTTCCGTGTGTGCGTGTGTGTGTGTGTTCTGTGTGTGTGTTCCGTGTGTGTGTGTGTTTCATGTGTGTTTCGTGTGTGTGTTCTGTGTGTGTGTGCGTGTGTTCCGTGTGTCTGTGTGTTTGCACAGCGGTTATCGCGCTGCGCTACGAACCCGGCAAACAGTTCGATTCCCGCTCACGGCCAACACCAGTGGCGATTATCTGAACCGGTCCTGGGCCTCTCCTAGGTCGACCCAGCCTCAAATGAGTACCTGGTGCGGTGTGTAAACATCGTCACTGGGGAGACAAAGGTGGCCGGGCGTGGTGCTGGCCACCCACCCCCTCTTGTGCCGTGCCGGCCTGTGTATTTGGAGTTTGCGTGTCTCTCTCTCCCCGTGGTCGCCGGGATTTTTCCCCGGGTCGTCGAGTTTGTCTCTCCACATTTCCATAAACAAGTTTCAGAGTTTTTGGCTGCCATGAATGTCCACGTGACGAGCCACTTCGTTCAGCTATCATCTGTGGCCTGGTTGCTTCTGAAAAAGTGCTACAGAGCTCTGTGGGCTTTACCTGATGAAATAAAAAATAGTTTAGTTTTTAGTTTCCTACAGGGTTGGCGTTTTTCCATCGCTCTCAAGTCAAGTTTGACTCCAACCAGTGGTGCTAAGTTTCCTTAAAATAATTTACTCTCCATACTCAAACGCCCATTAACTGATCAATTATAATTTCCTCATTGTCATTGTGTTTAGTATGAAAAGACAATGCAATTTAGACAATTAGGGTGCAATTCAGCTGAGCATGAAATGTTTTATAGGGGTACGTCCATGTCAATACGAGCTGGATAACATCACCTGGCCCAGCAACCTGTCCCTGGCTTTATAGAGGATGTTTTGTGTTATTTTGTACGTGTGTGAAACAGGGTGCTTGTGTATATACATTGTGAGTATTGTTATTGAGCGTGTACAGTTTGGCACAAAAGGTCTCCGAATCAGTCGAGTGGCATCTTTACTGCATCAGCTGCGTAAAGCGGAAATGTGGCCGGGTCTTCCCGGCCACATTTATGCCCTGCCTTCTCTACACTTGTGAAATGTGGACCCCTCTAGTGGTACATCTCCGCCGGTTTGAAACATTTAGGACGGTCTGCCCACGATCCATCCTGGGTTTAATCTGGGCTGTGTTGGGTGAGGCGCTTCGAGATCCTTTAGAATATCTGGACAGTCCCCATAATCAGTGAGCTATGGCAGACGAGGCTGCGTTGATGGGTGATGCGGTGTGTGATGGGTCACGTGGTGTGTGATGGGTCACGTGGTGTGACGTGGCGTGTGATGGGTCACGTGGTGTTTGATGGGTGACGTGGTGTTTGATGGGTCACGTGGTGTGACACGGCGTGTGATGGGTCACGTGGTGTGACGCGGCGTGTGATGGGTCACGTGGTGTGACGCGGTGTGTGATGGGTGACGTGGCGCGGTGTGTGATGGGTCACGTGGTGTGACGTGGCGTGTGATGGGTCACGTGGTGTGACGCGGCATGTGATGGGTGACGTGGTGTGACGCGGTGTGATGCGGCGGGTGATGCGGCGTGTGATGGGTCACGTGGTGTGACGCGGTGTGTGATGGGTCACGTGGTGTGACGCGGCATGTGATGGGTGACGTGGTGTGACGCGGCATGTGATGGGTGACGTGGTGTGACGCGGTGTGTGATGGGTCACGTGGTGTGACGTGGCGTGTGATGGGTCACGTGGTGTGACGCGGCATGTGATGGGTGACGTGGTGTGATGCGGTGTGTGATGGGTCACGTGGTGTGACGCGGCATGTGATGGGTGACGTGGTGTGACGCGGCATGTGATGGGTGACGTGGTGTGATGCGGTGTGTGATGGGTCACGTGGTGTGACGTGGCGTGTGATGGGTGACGTGGTGTGACGCGGTGTTCCGCAGGCGCAGCTTCCCCCGTGTGTGGATGAGCGAGTGGCTCAGTGTGCGTTCTTTGAGAAGCCGCTTCACGTCCCCAAGGAGCTCTGGATGATGGTCGACCACCTCTACCAGCACGGCTGCCAGCAGGTGGTCCACCTTGTGGTGGTGGTGATGGTGGTGGGGATGGTGGGGATGGTGGGGATGGTGGGGATGGTGGTGGTGATGGTGGTGGTGATGGTGGTGGTGGGGATGGTGGTGGTGGTGATGATGGGGGTGGTGGTGATGGTGGTGATGGTGGTGGTGGTGATGATGGGGGTGGTGGTGATGGTGGGGATGGTGGGGATGGTGGGGATGGTGGTGATGGTGGTGATGGTGGGGATGGTGGGGATGGTGGGGATGGTGGTGGTGGTGGTGATGATGGGGGTGGTGGTGATGGTGGTGGTGATGGTGGTGGTGGTGGGGATGGTGGTGATGGTGGTGATGATGGTGGTGGTGATGGTGGGGATGGTGGTGATGGTGGTGATGGTGGGGATGGTGGGGATGGTGGTGGTGGTGGTGATGATGGGGGTGGTGGTGATGGTGGTGATGGTGGTGGTGGTGATGATGGGGGTGGTGGTGATGGTGGGGATCGTGGGGATGGTGGTGATGGTGGTGATGGTGGGGATGGTGGGGATGGTGGTGATGGTGGGGATGGTGGTGATGGTGGGGATGGTGGGGATGGTGGGGATGGTGGGGATGGTGGTGATGATGGTGGTGGTGGGGATGGTGGGGATGGTGGTGATGGTGGTGGTGATGATGGGGGTGGTGGTGGTGATGATGGGGATGGTGGTGATGATGGGGATGATGATGGTGGTGGTGATGATGGGGATGGTGATGATGATGGTGGTGGTGATGGTGGGGATGGTGGTGATGATAGTGGTGATGATAGTGGTGATGATAGTGGTGGTGGTGGGGATGGTGGTGATGATGGGGATGGTGGTGATCGTGGGGATGGTGGTGATGGTGGTGATGATGGTGATGGTGTGGTGATGATGGGGATGGTGGTGGTGGTGATGATGGGGATCGTGGTGATGATGGTGGGGATGGTGGTGATGGGGATGGTGGTGGTGGTGATGATGGTGGGGATGGTGGTGATGATGGGGATGGTGGTGGTGGTGATGATGGTTATGATGGTGGTGGTGGTGGTGATGATGGGGATGGTGGTGGTGGTGATGGGGATGGTGGTGGTGGTGATGTGTCTTTAACATTGTGGTTGTAGTGGTGTATGTAACATGGTGGTGGTGGTTGTGTCTGTAACATTGTGGTTGTGATGGTGGTGGTTGTGGTGTATGTAACATGGTGGTGGTTGTGGTGGTGGTGGTGGTTGTGTCTGTAACATTGTGGTTGTGATGGTGGTGGTTGTGGTGTATGTAACATGGTGGTGGTTGTGGTGGTGGTGGTTGTGTCTGTAACATTGTGGTTGTGATGGTAGTGGTAGTGGTGTATGTAACATGGTGGTGGTTGTGTCTGTAACATTGTGGTTGTGATGGTAGTGGTGTATGTAACATGGTGGTGGTTGTGGTGGTGGTGGGGGTTGTGTCTGTAACATTGTGGTTGTGATGGTAGTGGTAGTGGTGTATGTAACATGGTGATGGTTGTGGTGGTGGTGGTGGTTGTGTCTGTAACATTGTGGTTGTGATGGTAGTGGTGTATGTAACTTGGTGGTGGTTGTGGTGGTGGTGGCAGGAGGACTTATTTCAGCAGCCAGGGCTGCATGCCGAGATGGAGGAGATCCGAGACGCCCTGGACACAGGGTTCCCGGAGAAACTTCGTATCCTCTCCACACAGCTACACCCGCACAGCTACACCCGCACAGCTACACCCGCACTGATATACCCGCACAGCTACACCCGCACAGCTACACCCGCACAGTTACACCCACACAGCTACACCCGCACTGATACACCCGCACTGATACACCCGCACAGCTACACGCGCATAGCTACACCCGCACAGCTACACCCGCACAGCTACACCCGCACAGATACACCCGCACAGATACACCCGCACTTACACACTAAGACAAAGCCAAAGATCCCCCGTGTAGCCTTAACAGACTGTAGGGGCAAGTGCTGTTAGCGAGTAGCACCTATGAAGGCCAGCACTGTGGCACACGAGGGGGGTGGGTGGCCAGCACCACGCCCGGCCGCCTTTGTGTCGCCAGTGGCAATGTTTACTACACACCGCACCAGGTACTCATTTGAGGCTGAGTCGACCTAGGGGAGGCCCGGGACCGGTTCAGATAATCGTCACTGGGTGTTGGCCGTGAGCGGGAATCGAACCCTGGTCGCCAGGTTCATAGCGCAGCGCGCTAACCGCTACACTATCGCTCCTCACACTGACACACACACTGACACACACACTGACACACACACACACTGACACACACACACACTGACACACACTGACACACACACTGACACACACTCTTACACGCGGCTACGCAGGCACCGTAGAACAACGCTGGCCCCGGAGCCCCCCCCAACCCCCCCCCCCCCAACCTTGACCGCTCCGTCGCTCTCAGCCGGCAGCAACCACTCGGTGGCCGAGGCGCTGCTCATCTTCCTGGAGGCGCTGCCCGAGCCGGTGGTGTGCTACGAGCTCTACTCGCGCTGCCTGGACGCGTCCGCCAGCTACGCGCAGAGCAAGCAGGTTCGCCGGGCACGTGGGGAGGGGTCGGGGGCGAAACGTCCGTGACGGGGCCCCGCGGGCCGGGCCCAGGGGCGCCTCCAAGGCGACTCGGGCACCGCCGCCCGCGTCCTCCGTTGCGTTCGCGATTCCAGACCGAGTCACTTGCGGCGGCGCTTTTCGAACGTGGAGGATTTTTGATCGGTGAGGCCCGCACGCGATGGCCGACCGCTCGCTTCGAATGGCGTCCCGGCGGGCGTGTCACGACCGCCGCGAGGCCGCGTGGTCCCTTATGCGCGGTTAACCAGGGCGGCCTGCCGCGGTCACACCACGAATGGGCTTCATGCAAGCCGTTGGGTCGCGGAGTCTGTGGGTCGGGAACCCGGTGCCGTCGCCGTGACCGGGCGGCCGATGAACTCCGGATGGGAAACCCGGGCTCTTTACAGAGTCTCTGACCTCAAGGCACCCTAAGGGGGGGGGGAGGGAGGGAGGGGGGGGGGCCCTCTCCAATTGCCGTGTATACGAAGCGTCCACGCGAGTGTGCCTCTGCAGACACTGCGAGATGCTTCGCGCGGGCCTACCGCAGGCTTTACTTCCCCGCCAGCGTCAATGGCTGCCGCTGTGCCGTGCCCAACGGAGTTTACACATCCGCGGATTTGGCTCTGGCTCACCTGAACCTCCTGGCTCCTAAACCTAAGTCGCCCATGGCTCACACACTCTGACTCACCTTGACTCACCTTGACTCACCTTGACTCACTCTGACTCACCTTGACTCACTCTGACTCACCTTGACTCACCTTGACTCACCTTGACTCACTCTGACTCACCTTGACTCACCTTGACCCACTCTGACTCACCTTTACTCACTCTGACTCACTCTGACCCACCTTGACCCACCTTGACTCACTCTGACTCACTCTGACTCACCTTGACTCACCTTGACTCACCTTGACTCACTCTAACTCACCTTGACTCACTCTGACTCACCTTGACTCACCTTGACCCACCTTGACTCACTCTGACTCACTCTGACTCACCTTGACCCACCTTGACTCACTCTGACTCACTCTGACTCACCTTGACTCACCTTGACTCACCTTGACTCACTCTAACTCACCTTGACTCACTCTGACTCACCTTGACTCACCTTGACTCACCCTGCCAGGAGCTCTCGCGCCTGCCCGGGTGCCATGACAGTGCGTTCCACTACCTGGCCGCGTTCCTTCGCGAGCTGCTCAAGCACTCGGCCGCCAACCACACGGACGCTCGCATGCTGGGTGAGGGGTCACTCACCACACGCTGCTCACCACACGCTGCTCACCACACGCTGCTAAACCACACCACACACTACTCACCACACGCTGCTAAACCACACCACACACTACTCACCACACCACACGCTCACCACACCACACACTACTCACCACACCACACACTACTCACCACACACTACTCACCACACCACACGCTCACCACACCCTACTCACCACACCACACGCTCACCACACGCTACTCACCACACCACACGCTGCTCACCACACGCTACTCACCACACGCTGCTCACCACACACTACTCACCACACGCTACTCACCACACGCTACTCACCACACGCTACTCACCACACGCTCACCACACACCACTCACCACACGCTCACCACACGCTCACCACACACTACTCACCACACGCTACTCACCACACGCTACTCACCACACGCTACTCACCACACGCTCACCACACACCACTCACCACACGCTCACCACACGCTCACCACACACTACTCACCACACGCTACTCACCACACGCTCACCACACACCACTCACCACACGCTCACCACACGCTCACCACACACTACTCACCACACGCTACTCACCACACGCTCACTACACACCACTCACCACACGCTCACCACACGCTCACCACACACTACTCACCACACGCTGCTCACCACACGCTAATCACCACACAATACTCACCACACGCTACTCACCACACGCTACTCACCACACGCTACTCACCACACGCTACTCACCACACACTCACCACACACCACTCACCACACGCTCACCACACGCTCACCACACGCTCACCACACACTACTCACCACACGCTACTCACCACACGCTACTCACCACACGCTCACCACACGCTACTCACCACACGCTGCTCACCACACGCTTCTCACCACACCCTACTCACCACACCACACACTATTCACCACACGCTGCTCACCACACACTACTCACCACACAATACTCACCACACACTACTCACCACACGCTCACCACACGCTCACCACACACTACTCACCACACGCTCACCACACACTACTCACCACACGCTCACCACACACTACTCACCACACGCTCCACACACACTACTCACCACACACTACTCACCACACACTACTCACCACACTACTCACAACCCACCACTCGCTCAGACGCCCGGAGTGCCGGCGACGTCATGACGTCATGACGTCATGACGTCATGACGCCCCTCGTGGAGGACGGACCGCTTCCCGCCCCTCTCACCCTCGCGGTCCCCCCTGTGCCCCCCACGGCGATTCCCCATTGCCCCCCCCGCCCCCGCCCCGCCCAGCCTCGGTGTTCGGTTCGGTGCTGCTCCGCCCCCCGCCCAACCGGCGCCGCCTTCCGGACGACCGCAGGAAGCACATCGCCTTCATGCAGCACTTCCTCTCGCACGACGAGAGCAGCTGATTGGCCGCCGACGCGGGTCACGTGACTCCGGCGGCCATGTTGCTGCCCCCCCCCCCCCCCCGCGTGCACCGGTGTCCGACCTTGCGGGGGCGGGGTTGGTGGTTGGACTTGCGAGGTCAGGTTTCAGGAAGAGGTTAAATTATAACGAGATTGGGTTTGTGAATGCTGGCGGTGGACGGGGGAGGTGGGGGCTGGTAAGGGAGTGGGGGGAGCAGTGGTCGTCGGAGTCGTGGCGAATGTGTGTCCTCGAAACAAGGTGCGTGGGTCTCGTGTCAACGACGGTGACAATCGTGACAATAATCTCTGCATCTACATGGCCATTACGCCGGTGCTTCGGCAACTCCAAGCGCCTTCCATCGCTGCTCCTCTGTCGCTTTCAAGGGGTACCCACCAGCATCAGCTGCTCCCCGCGGGAGACAAATGTGGCATCGGACACATGGCGTGAAAAATTGGGCGTTGGTCTGCCGGTGGAGGTGGGGGGGGGGTGGGTGCGCATGATTGCTGCTGTATGCTCAATCTAGAGGTGATTTCTTTTTTTTAATTTAGCGAATTGCAGGTCTCTCACTTTGGCCACGTTTTACACAGCTGCACAATCGCGCAGAGCGACGCCGGATTGGTGGGTGGAGCTGCGTTGGGACGCTCTCCCGCGCCAGGCGGTCCCAGTTTTAGTCCCGGTCCCGAGTCATTTAGCTGCATCGAGGCATCGGTGCTCATCACCCGTTTGCAGCCCTGCAGAGGCATTGGTGGAAAGTTCACATCGCTGTGGCAGCGGGCCGGCGAGCCTTTCCACAGGACAGCCGCTGTTGATCTTTCACTAAAAATCGGTTCTCATTTCTATCGATCCCCCGAGAGATAGGCGCGATCAAGTCGACCTCCCCCCACCTCAACCTGGGTTTGAACTTACAACCTTCCACTTGCGAGCCGCTCCCTCTACCGCTAAGCCGTGATAAGTACAGTGACCAGTGCAGCAGTGGATCAGTATGTTAGCTAGAGTAGCAGTGGATTAGCACGGTAGCAGTGGGTTAGCACGGTAGCTGTGTAGTAGTGGATCAGCACGGTAGCTGGTGTAGCAGTGGGTTAGCACGGTAGCTGGTGTAGCAGTGGGTTAGCACGGTAGCTGGTGTAGCACGGTAGCTGGTGTAGCAGTGGATTAGCACGGTAGCTGGTGTAACAGTGGATTAGCACGGTAGCTGGTGTAACAGTGGATTAGCACGGTAGCTGGTGTAACAGTGGATTAGCACGGTAGCTGGTGTAACAGTGGATCAGCACGGTAACAGTGGATTAGCACGGTAGCTGGTGTAGCAGTGGGTTAGCACGGTAGCTGGTGTAGCAGTGGATTAACACGGTGGCTGGTGTAGCAGTGGGTTAGCACGGTAGCTGGTGTAGCAGTGGGTTAGCATGGTAGCTGGTGTAGCACGGTAGCTGGTGTAGCAGTGAGTTAGCACGGTAGCTGGTGTAGCAGTGGATCAGCACGGTAGCTGGTGTAGCAGTGGATCAGCACGGTAGCTGGTGTAGCAGTGGGTTAGCACGGTGGCTGGTGTAGCAGTTGATGGAGCAGAGACGTGGGCTAATTTAACCTTCATGGAGGTAGCAGGGTTTTGGTAAATAACGCACACACACCAGGGCAGCGCCACCCTTGAGTTCACCCGGTATGTTGAGGACACACACTCGTACCAGCCACTGTTATGATGTGTGGGTTAGGGCCGGGGAGGGGAGTGAGACGAGAGAGAGAGGGGGGAGGTTGAAGAGAGATCGTGTGGAGGAGGGGAGTTGGGGAAGTGCAGGTCCATGGAGTGTCTCGCGGACCGTGAGTCGGGTGATTGGGGGTGTCTGAGTGACGTGGTCTCGGTGGGACGTGGTGACCGCCAATCACCTGCGCTCATTACACCGTTCACTGCTCAAATGTGGCCTCACTGCGGAGTTGATGGGGTCTCAATGGGTCGTGTGAGGAGGGCTGCAGGAGTGACAGTTCAGTGGGCGGTTGTGTCTCCACGTGTCTCCACGTGTCTCCACGTGTCTCCACGTGTCTCCTGTGTCTCCACGTGTCTCCTGTGTCTCCACGTGTCTCCACGTGTCTCCTGTGTCTCCACGTGTCTCCACGTGTCTCCTGTGTCTCCCCCCATGTCCACTTATCTCCCCGTGTCTCCGCGCGTCTTCCGGCGTCTTCCCATGTCTCCAAATGTCTCCCGCATGTCTCTCCTTCTCCCCACAGCTATCCACGTCTCCACGTGTCCCCACGTCTCCACGTGTCTACTGTGTCTCCACGTGTCTCCCAGCGTCTCTCCGCGTTGTCCTGCGTCTCACCGTGTCTCGGTGCATATCACCACCTTCCCTGCACCACACCTCATCTCCCAGCACCACACCTCATCTCTCTGCACCTCATCTCCCTGCACCTGATCTCCCACGTGTGTCCTCACTCCCCCCCCCGTCTCCCCGCGCGTCTCTCTGCGTTTCTCTGTTTATCCGCCCGTGTCTCCGCGAGTCTCGCCACTTCTCCCCGTGCCTCCGCGTGTTTTTAACATGAATGTGTTTTTTTTATCCAGCTTCATAACCTAATGGGGTTGGGGTGGGGGTGGGGCTAGGGTTATGGTTGGGGTCACGGTGATTCCCACGCCGCCGCCGCCGCCGTGGTCTCACGCGTTTGGTTATTTTCCAGGGCGACCCTGGAGGAGAATGATTCGTAATAATGGAGCCGGCGCCGCCGGTGCCAATGGTTCAGCAGCGCAGCCCTGCGGGGCGCTCTCAGAGCAAGATGGGGCGCGTTTGAGACGACGCGGCCCATTGGATGGACGACATATCCAAGGGGGTGATTGGAAAGCGCGTTGTGACCCCCTGTGAGCTGGGGCGAGGATTATAACCCCTCCCCTCGGCTGCAGCTCTTCCACACACGTAGACTAAGATCCCTACCGCCTCGGCTACAGCTCCCGTCCCGTCATCCCGGCTACAGCGTCACGCGGATAAACTAGACCCACCTCCCGTCCTACCCCGTGACCCACATGGAGAAACAAAGCCTCCTCTCCCCGTCGTTCCGTAACTCGTTGTCTCTAGCCCGCTGTCCTATTTCGCCGGCCGCAGCTCCTCGTCGTCACCAAAGAGAGAGAGAGAGGGAGGGAGGCGGGGGGGGGCTGGTGGAGCTCCGGCCGTGCACCGGGAGCAGCCACGAGTGGCGCTGAACGCGTTACCGCCGCGGCTTGGAGCGACAATTGCCGGATCGCGTCTGAACGACCAGACAGTAACGGCCAGTCGCAGCTCGTCAATCTGGGTGGTGCCGCGTTTAGCGCGCACCGCGCGAACCCGCCGCATGAAAGTCGAGTCGAGTCTGCCCTGAACAATCGGTTGCCTGCAATCGGTTGCCTGCGACCGATTGTTCAGCTGGTTGTAACTGATTGTGGAGACAGGTTGGGGGTCCCACCACACCCGAGCGGCCGGGTCGCTGAGCGAACCACCGTGTTCGAGTGGGTTTTGTGTCCCCAGGCGATAACTCGAGAGACCGAGGATAGAGGCTCATTTGCAATGGGGGAGGGGGAGGGGGGGGGGTGGGTGTCTGGATTGCTCAAAAGTCGAGTTCACATCTCTGTTGTGAGCAACCTGTTTGCGAAGACGACCACGTGGAAGGGATGGAGTTGCATGCGACTAGTTTGTGTGTGTGGACTGCGCTGTAACCACCCCCTCCCTCCTTCGCCCCCGTGCACACTGCAATAATAACAATGAGAGCGGTGTTGTTTTAATGTTCATGGCCTAGCCCGAAATTAGGTCCCAATCTATATTATATTATATGTGTGTACGTGTGTGTGTCACTCTATTATAAAGGTCTCGTACGTGTCTATACATCCAACCTGCCGATGCTCCACGTGTGTGTGTGTGTGTCTCCGCGTTCAATGTGTGATTGTGGTGCGAACTATTGTGGTTCATGGTGTAACGTCGTGAGCGTAGTGCGAGTGTGAGCGTAGTGCGAGCGTGAGTGTAGTGCGAGTGAGCGAAGTGAGCGTAGTGTGTGTGAGCATAGTGTGAGTGTGAGCATAGTGTGAGTGTGAGCAAAGTGCGTGTGACTATAATGCGTGTGAGTATAGTGTGTGTGAGTGTGAGGCGTACGTGCGAGGGTGGACGTGGTGAGGTTGATGTGTGTGTGAGTCAGGGTTTATGTTGAGGCTGAGTCAAATGGTACAGGAGGACGTGGAGCTGAGTGGACTTGCCGATGACTGGTACCAGCGGTGTCAAGATCGGCCTCTGTGGAGGAGGCTCGTGAAGGACGCTACTGGGCAGTTGGAGGCAGTCGCCCTCCAACAACAACGGAGGGCAGAGGAGCGACGCTCACAACAACGAGCGGAGTGCAGGGTGGCTAAAGCACAGCAGGTTGGCACAGTAGGGGGCACAGGTGGTGCACCAGCAGTCATCTCAGTCATCTCAGTCAGTCGACCCGTGGCACCTGGGTCTGCTCCGTGACCTGCCAGCGGGCGTCCGACACTTCACGTGGCCTCAACGTGCACATGGCCTGGCACAAGCACCGTGGTGACGTCACCGCCACTTAGTGGCGAATGGCGGTTGTTGTTGAGGCTGAGGTAAGGCTGACGTGAGTGAGTAGAAGGTGTGTCAGCCTGCTTGTGTATGTAGTTAGATTAGTGAGGGGCTGGTAACCCCTCCACCTTCCCACAACTGTTTTTCTAAACCAAGTTCCATGGTGGAACCCCAAGTTGCAGAGCCGGACTGTACCACTCTACTCATTGGTTTATTCGGTAAAGCCACGTATGTAGAAATAAAATAAAATTTAAATAAATCACACTTAAAATATGAAATAAATCGCGACGTTTCGAACGCAACACAAGCGCTCATCAGGTGGAAATGGGGTAAAACGCATCGCTTCCGGCCACGCCCCCTACTCGATCTCTCCCGAAGGAACGGGGCCAGCGTCACGTGTCCCTCAAGCCCCCTTTACCCCGTGTCGTTCGCGTGCCCTCTCTCTCGCCCTTCAACGGGACCATGCCCTCTAGCGCCCGCTTCCCTGCCATATTTTCGCCAGTGCCAGATAGGTATGTGACCTAAGCAGTTACCTGCTCGTGAACCTAGGTGCCATAGAAACTCTATTTACATCTCTACACACACATCATGGATGCATGCCAGGTCCAAGCAAGAACATCTGCTGGACCACATAGTGATGGCAGAGCAAATGCAGGCCCATGTCCTTCGCACCAGGGCCTACCATGGAGCTGATCTGCCCACTGACCATCGGCGTGTCATGTGTAAGTTGTGCCTACCGCTACTTCACTGGTTGTAAGCGTTCATCTAGAGCCCCGCTTGAACACAATAGCCTGGTGTCGCTGACGAAGGTTACAAGTGAGGTGGTTCATCATCACTTTGCAGCTGGGGGTGGCTGCATTGGTTACATGTTGCAGCCTTCAACAAAGACCCTCGCTGATGGAGGAGGCGCTCCAGCTAGATGAAAGAGAGCAGCAGGCCCCCTCCCACCGTCCACAACATCCCACGTCCAAGATTGAGGAGGCCTATACTGCAGCCTGCGCTGGGAGGTAACTTGCAGTGCCACGCCCATCACCATCCAACCCCCAAGAACTGGCTCGCTGGTTTTGTTGAGCATCGCTGTGAGGTCTTGGAGGAGGGGAAACCCCCTCAGTTCAAATATCACGGGGCATTGTGGGAGTTGACCTCGCCGGTGCCACCATGCCTCAAATACTGGAGGAAGTCGCCACTCCGCGAGCGGTTTGCGAATGTGCCAATGGGTTTTTGGAAGTGTGAAGGGTGATGCAGAGGCCCCGGTAAAACAATCGTCGAGCTGACATGACCTCAAGCGAACTGCTGAGGGAGAGTGGCATTTTTTGTTCAGACTGCCTTGGTGACCGTAACCATGTGGACCACAGGATGGGCTCCGCAGGATTGTAAGCATGCTCTGGTGGTCCCCATTATTTGTGTTTATCCTTCACGTACACACCATTTACTTCCTTCACTTCATTGACATTTACTCTTGTCCGTCTGCTACAGCAGAGGTGCATGGAATTTCAACAAGACCCTAACATTTCGGATTTATTGGCCTGATCGAGTCCTACAATACCATAACTAGGCCAGGGCTGTGGGTTCGTCTTTGTGATTTTCTAGTCCCTGACTCTCTGCTTATAATCATTAAGGACCTTCATGATGGTGGGCAGGCCTGGGCAAAGCTGCGTGGCCGGGAGTCAGACCCATTTTCTGTTTACCTTGGGGTGCCACAGGGATCTTCTCTGGCCCCTACACTATTGAACATATTCATTGACCACGAAGCTCAAGAAGCTTGCCACGGATGTACCAGTGGAATTTCCATCTGGTACGATTACAATGAAAGGCTGATTGATGCCCGGGTGCAGTCAAGTGATGGTTCCCTATTAGCAAACCATATGTATGCAGATGATCTGTTAATTGCTGCCCACTGAGTAGGATTTGTTGACTGCTGCTGAACCTGGCACGTGCTGATAAGAGGTGGGGCCTTACCATCAGCCCCAGACAAAAACAATGCACCTGCCTGGGTATTTAATGTCATCAAATGACGCTCTGCCTCCACTCCTCTCCTTCCATTGGTGGGGGTAGCTATGGAGTGAGTGGAAAGGTTTCCATACCTGGGCAGTGTGTTTATGACCGGCTCCGGTTTGACAGCAGAGGTCTTGCTCCCAATCAGTCGAGCGGCATTATCGTTTCATCGGCTGCGTAACGCTCCTGTGTGGAAGCTACCTGGTCTGTCGCTCCATATGAACCTTCGCGTCTTCTCGGCCACGGTCAAGCCGTCCCTTCTCTATACTTGCGAAACGTGGACCCCCCCCCCCTTCCCTAATGGGACATACCTGGGCAGTGTGCTCAATTTATAGCCTCTAGGTGCACCTAGACTGGCACAACCTCCTAGACTGGTACAAGCACCGTGGTGACACCACCACTTAGTGGCGAACGGCGTTTGTTATGTGAATTCGTGGTGTGGTAGGCAATCCCTGCATATGTACGGGGTGTAGTAACCGCACTCTAACATTACACACACACGCCACAAACATGATGCGTTATTCATGTAATCGCGCACGGCCAATATGAATATTCCTATCGTGCATAATTCATATGGAGATCGCGTCACTGGCTGCCCGTGATGGTATTCAGTGAGCTGTCAAGTGACGCGGCCTCTCACCAGCCCCGGCTAGGGGCAGGGTTCACATTCAGTGTCGCGTGCGCGAGGCTCCTTCACGGCAGCGGTGAGGAAGGAGTGGGGGGGGAGGGGTGACGCTACGAGATCCGCACAGATGGATGCAACGGTGGTCCATTGCCGTGCTTGCGACCTCGCAGCCCCAAGCCTACCGATCACCACGTGCGCGGAAAGCCTCCCCATCCATCACAGCGCCAAGACGGCTCGACCCCGGGAGGGGAGGGGGGGGGGTCAGCGTGGGTGATTGTCTCGTTAGGGGCACGTTGATAGCTCCGTTATTAAATGGCCCAGCCCGTGGTGCGTGGCCCGAAAATTCATTTCCAGTCGGCCCGGGGGTGTAGGCGGGCGGGGGGTTACGGGAGCCTTGTCCCGCTCGCTTCGCGCTCCAATTAACGCCTCGATAATAGCCAGGACCCCCCCCCCTCCCCCCACTCTTCACGAGCAGATCCAGCGGCAGCCTGGCTCGGGGCGACAACTGGGACGCGTTAAAGTGCAGGGCGCTGGGGAGTTTGGTGAGAGGCGACCTCGTGAGATATTGATCCTAATTAGCTCGCCCACCCACTGCCCCCCCCCTGGGGGAATCCCCGGGGAGGAGGGGGAATCAGCTCCCCTTAATTGCTTCCGCCCGAGATGAATTCTCAGCAGCTGGGACATCGAACGAGTGCCGGGCAGGCGGAGAGAGCACGCGGGTCGCCTCTACGGGAGAGAGAGACAGAGGGGGAGACGTGGAGTGTCAACACCACCGCCAAAAACCACCACCACCACCACAACAACACAAACAACAACACAAACAACAACAACAGCACAGCCGGCGGAGTGCGGTCAAACAGCCTGGCGCCGTGAGCCCCACGCTAGTGGATTGTTGACAAAGGGCCTTCATCCAGCAGTGGAGTGGCACTCGGCCTAACGACTCGGAGCGAGCTGAGCTGACCCCCCGCCCGCCCGTGTTGAGGAGGAGGCGGAGGAGGGGTCGAGTCGCTCGACTTGCCGTGGTGTTCTCTCCAGGGCCACGCGAGGGATCGTTCCGCGTTGTGGAGTGGAGGTTTTGTGTCTTAGAGAGCTACACCGAGAGAGAGAGAGAGAGCCCTTGCCTGTCAACACGTGCCACGTCGCCGGCATTGCTGCGGACGAGCCTGGCTCTGATGATGATGATGAGACACTGCATGTCGAAACCGTCTCGGAGTTGTTGATCGTGTTGAACCGAATGCCCGCTGCTGGCTGAACAGCGTCCTGTTAATCCACGACATCCGATAGGACTGTGGGGCGATGTCATTGTGAGTTGAACACGTGGTCGGCTTTCGCGCCCAATATTATTCACAACAAAGGTTCGATCGCGTTCGTATAAATGCGTGTTTAACCCAGCACCGCCACCACCACCACCACTTTATTACAGACGACGTACGAGTGACGAGTGTGTGTTAGTGAAACTGCGAATTAAATCAGTTATGGTTCCTTTGATCGCTCGGCCGTTAAATTTAGATTTAAAGCTTTCGTGACTGCAGTAATTCATATTCTTAGTTCTTTCGGTAAAGTCACGTTGAAGGGAAACAACAAAATAATAAAATATATATAATATATTTAATATATAATATATTTAATATATATTTTATTATTTTGTTGTTTCCCTTCAACGTGACTTTACCGAAAGAACTAAGAATACGCTCGGCCGTTGTTTGGCTAACTGCGGTAATTCTTCTCGAGCTGATACACGGCGTGCAAGCCGGATGTCAGAGCGTGCGCCTGTGTGTGTGTGTCCCCACCTGGACTCTGCTGACCTCACCGTGCCCCCGGCCCTCCCCCCACAACAAACGATGCCGGCACCCCCCCCCACCACCCCCAAATATGTCTTTCCCCGGCTGCTCTTAAAATGCCACGAGAGAGATAAATACAACACGACAATCAGTAGCGCCGCCCCGAGATAACAGCCACGCGGGTGGGGAGCGGGGGGGGGGGGCTCACCCCCCCCTGCTCCTCCCCCCTGCTCCTCGCCCCCCCCCCCTGCTCCTCCCCTCGCCCTCCCCCCTGCTCCTCCCCCCCCCCCTTGCTCCTCCCCTTGCCCCGCCCCCTCGTGCCCCGTTCATAAAATCGCCTCGGGGCGCGTGGACGCCAGGTTCAGGGGTGCCAGAGACACCGGCGGCTCCCAGCTCCGCGGTCCTCTACAGGGCAGTGGACGGGAGGGGGTCTCCATCGAGGGGACCCAGCTCCTGGTGGGGTGGAGTTTGGGGGGCCAGCTCCTGGTGGGGTGGAGTTGGGGGGGCCAGCTCCTGGTGGGGTGGAGTTTGGGGGGCCAGCTCCTGGTGGGGTGGAGTTTGGGGGGCCCAGCTCCTGGTGGGGTGGAGTTTGGGGGGGCCAGCTCCTGGTGGGGTGGAGTTTGGGGGGCCAGCTCCTGGTGGGGTGGAGTTTGGGGGGCCCAGCTCCTGCTCCAGGGGTCCCGGCTGGGAGAAGGGGGAGGCTGCAGGGGAGGAGGGGGGGGGGCGAGTGAACGCGGCGCCCCGTGGTGAGCACTCTGAGGTGAGAGGCACCGCTGGGGATGGGAGGGAGAGGGGGGGGTACCCCCTTATCCCGAATCCCCAGGGTTCTTGGGTCTGCCGAAGGGGGCGAGTTGCTCGGTTCGCCGGTGGTGATGTTGGGGCTCGCGCGAGGGTCGGAGCGCCCGTGCTCAAAGGGTATACAATTGAGGACGTCAGTCATTGATACAATAATAATATTGATAGATGTAACGGATAAATAATGAACATTATTGTACTAAAGCTGACTGTGTGCCACAGTCAGCTCTCTAGCGCGTCCAGTGCATCGTGAGAGTTTGCATCACTTTCAGCCGTGGTCGGCTTACGTAAGTTGACGGTGTGAGAGTGAGTGTGAGTGTATGGATGTGTGTGTGACTTTGTATGGGTGTGAGTGTTTATGGGTGTGATTGTGTGTATGCGTTTGTATGGGTGTTAGGAGGTGATTGGCTGTGTGTGTGGGTGTGTGTGTATGAGTTTGTATGGTCCTTAGTGTGTGTGTATGAGTGTGTATGGGTGTGAGTGTGTGTGTATGGGTGTATGTGTATGGGTGTGAGTGTGTGTGTATGGGAGTATGGGTGTGAGTGTGTGTGTATGGGTGTATGTGTATGGGTGTGAGTGTATGGGTATATGTGTATGGGTGTATGTGTATGGGTGTGAGTGTGTGTATGGGTGTATGTGTATGGGTGTGAGTGTGTGTATGGTGAGCGGTAGTGTAGCGTTTAGCGCGCTGCGCTACGAACCCGGCTACCCGAGTTTGATTCCCGCTCACAGCCAACACCAGTGACGATTATCTGAACCGGTCCTGGGCCTCCCCTAGGTCGACTCAGCCTCAAATGAGTACCTGGTGCGGTGGATAAAAACATCGCCACTGGGGAGACAAAGGCGGTCGGGCGTGGTGCTGGCCACCCACCCCCTCGTGTACCGTTGCGTCCTTCATCGGTGCCCGCTAACAGAACTTGCCCATACAGTCTGTTAAGGCTATATGGGAGATCTTTGTCTGAGTGTGTGTGTCTGAGTGTGTGTGTCTGAGTGTGTGGGTGTGAGTGTGTGTCTGGGTGTGAGTGTGTGTCTGAGTGTGTGTGTCTGAGTGTGTGGGTGTGAGTGTATGGGTGTGAGTGTGTGTCTGAGTGTGTGTGTCTGAGTGTGTGGGTGTGAGTGTATGGGTGTGAGTGTGTGTCTGAGTGCAATGGGTGTGAGTGTGAGTGTATGGGTGTGGGTGTGTGTCTGAGTGTGTGGGTGTTTGTATGAGTGTATGGGTGTGGGTGTGTCTGAGTGTGTCAGTGTGAGTGTGTGTCTGAGTGTGTGGGTGTGAGTGTGAGTCTGAGTGTGTGGGTGTGTGTCTGAGTGTATGGTTGTGGGTGTGTGTCTGAGTGTATGGGTGTGGGTGTGTGTCTGAGTGTATGGGTGTGAGTGTGTGTCTGAGTGTATGGGTGTGTGTCTGAGTGTATGGGTGTGAGTGTGTGTCTGAGTGTGTGGGTGTGAGTGTCTGTCTGAGTGTATAGGTGTGAGTGTGTGTCTGAGTGTATGGGTGTGAGTGTCTGTCTGAGTGTATGGGTGTGTGTCTGAGTGTATGGGTGTAAGAGTGCGTCTGAGTGTATGGGTGTAAGTGTGTGTCTGAGTGTATGGGTGTGAGTGTAATGGGTGTGAGTGTAATGGGTGTGAGTGTGTGTCTGAGGGGAGCGGTGGTGCAGTGGTTAGCGCTACGCTACAAATCCGGGGACCCGGGTTCGATTCCCGCTTGTGGCCAACACCGGTGACGATTATCTGAACGGGTCCTGGGTCTCCCCTAGGTCGACTCGGCCTCAAATGAGTACCTGGTGCGTTGTGTAAACGTCGCCACTAGGGAGACAAAAGCGGCCGGGCGTGGTGCTGGCCACCCACCCCTCGTGTCCCGTGCCGGCCTTCACAGGTGCTACTGGCTAACAGCACTTGCCCCTACAGTCTGTTAATGCTACACGGGGGATCTTTGTCTTCGTCTTGTGTGTGTCTGGATGAGTGAGTGAACCCGGCCATACAAGTTTAATTCCCGATTACGACCAAGGTACCGTCCATAAATGACGTCACGCGATTTTTGACCCCCCCCCCTCATCACACGGCGTCACAAAAAGTCAGACCCCCCCTCAATTATGACGTCACAAAGCTCTGCCCCCCCCCCAAATAAAACATGCTTCAAATCGCTTTAAACTATTGTCATTGTAGTGCGTATTTAATGTGGCGCTGCACTCTGATGTTGTAGGAGAAAATATTTATTAAAAAGTCTTTTTAATTAAGTAGAACGTGTTGTCTATATTTATTTTAAGTTGCGCATTTTGATGTGACGTCACACTTCTCACCCCCCCTCCCCCCCTCGTCACACATCATCTTGGGGTGAATGAGATTATTCATCTTGGGGTGCATGAGATTATTCATCTTGGAGTGAATGAGATTATTCATCTTGGGGTGCATGAGATTATTCATCTTGGGGTGAATGAGATTATTCATCTTGGGGTGCATGTGATTATTCATCTTGGGGTGCATGAGATTATTCATCTTGGGGTGCATGAGATTATTCATCTTGGGGTGCATGAGATTATTCATCTTGGGGTGCATGTGATTATTCATCTTGGGGTGCATGTGATTATTCATCTTGGGGTGCATGAGATTATTCATCTTGGGGTGAATGAGATTATTCATCTTGGGGTGCATGTGATTATTCATCTTGGGGTGCATGAGATTATTCATCTTGGGGTGCATGAGATTATTCATCTTGGGGTGAATGAGATTATTCATCTTGGGGTGCATGAGATTATTCATCTTGGGGTGCATGAGATTATTCATCTTGGGGTGCATGAGATTATTCATCTTGGGGTGCATGAGATTATTCATCTTGGGGTCAATGAGATTATAAATCTTGGGGTCAATGAGATTATTCATCTTGGGGTCAATGAGATTATTCATCTTGGGGAGAATGACATTATTCATCTTGGGGTGAATGAGATTATTCATCTTGGGGTGAATGAGATTATTCATCTTGGGGTCAATGAGATTATTCATCTTGGGGTCAATGAGATTATTCATCTTGGGGTCAATGAGATTATTCATCTTGGGGTCAATGAGATTATTCATCTTGGGGTCAATGAGATTATTCATCTTAGGGTGAATGAGATTATTCATCTTGGGGTCAATGAGATTATTCATCTTGGGGTGCATGAGATTATTAATCTTGGGGTGAATGAGATTATTCATCTTGGGGTGAATGACATTATTCATCTTGGGGTCAATGAGATTATTCATCTTGGGGTCAATGAGATTATTCATCTTGGGGTCAATGAGATTATTCATCTTGGGGTAAATGAGATTATTCATCTTGGGGTGAATGAGATTATTCATCTTGGGGTGAATGAGATTATTCATCTTGGGGTCAATGAGATTATTCATCTTGGGGTGCATGAGATTATTCATCTTGGGGTGAATGAGATTATTCATCTTGGGGTGCATGAGATTATTTATCTTGGGGTCAATGAGATTATTCATGTTGGGATGAATGAGATCATTCATCTTGGGGTCAATGAGATTATTCATCTTAGGGTGAATGAGATTATTCATCTTGGGGTCAATGAGATTATTCATCTTGGGGTGCATGAGATTATTAATCTTGGGGTGAATGAGATTATTCATCTTGGGGTCAATGAGATTATTTATCTTGGGGTCAATGAGATTATTCATCTTGGGGTCAATGAGATTATTCATCTTGGGGAGAATGACATTATACATCTTGGGGTGAATGAGATTATTCATCTTGGGGTGAATGACATTATTCATCTTGGGGTCAATGAGATTATTCATCTTGGGGTCAATGAGATTATTCATCTTGGGGTCAATGAGATTATTCATCTTGGGGTAAATGAGATTATTCATCTTGGGGTGAATGAGATTATTCATCTTGGGGTGAATGAGATTATTCATCTTGGGGTCAATGAGATTATTCATCTTGGGGTGCATGAGATTATTCATCTTGGGGTGAATGAGATTATTCATCTTGGGGTGCATGAGATTATTTATCTTGGGGTCAATGAGATTATTCATGTTGGGATGAATGAGATCATTCATCTTGGGGTCAATGAGATTATTCATCTTGGGGTGAATGAGATTATTCATCTTGGGGTGAATGAGATTATTCATCTTGGGGTGAATGAGATCATTCATCTTGGGGTGAATGAGATTATTCATCTTGGGATGAATGAGATTATTCATCTTGGGGTGAATGAGATTATTCATCTTGGGGTGCATGAGATTATTTATCTTGGGGTCAATGAGATTATTCATCTTGGGATGAATGAGATCATTCATCTTGGGGTCAATGAGATTATTCATCTTGGGGTCAATGAGATTATTCATCTTGGGGTGAATGAGATTATTCATCTTGTGGTGAATAAGATCATTCATCTTGGGGTGAATGAGATTATTCATCTTGGGATGAATGAGATTATTCATCTTGGGGTGAATGAGATTATTCATCTTGGGGTCAATGAGATTATTCATCTTGGGGTCAATGAGATTATTCATATTGGGGTGAATGAGATTATTCATCTTGGGGTCAATGAGATCATTCATCTTGGGGTGAATGAGATTATTCATCTTGGGATAAATGAGATTATTCATCTTGGGGTCAATGAGATTATTCATCTTGGGGTCAATGAGATTATTCATCTTGGGGTGAATGACATTATTCATCTTGGGGTCAATGAGATCATTCATCTTGGGGTGAATGAGATTATTCATCTTGGGATGAATTAGATTATTCATCTTGGGGTCAATGAGATTATTCGTCTTGGGGTCAATGAGATTATTCATCTTGGGGTGAATGACATTATTCATCTTGGGGTCAATGAGATCATTCATCTTGGGGTGATATTTGATGCGTTCCCTTTCCTTCGAAGCTGGAGTTAGCAAGGTTGTGAAAATCTCGGTTTTTTTTTCCCCACCTCCCAAACATTGCTTGACTGCACAACATCATTACACGGGTGATTCTGAGAGAGGCCGGTCCACCCACTCGTCCCCTCGCCAATCGATGACTGCAGTGCCTCGCTGGTTGCCGCTTCAAACAAGCTCCTTGCTAGACGACAAATTGTTCAGCATGCGGCCGTTAGGGTGCTCACCCGAACCCCCATTACGTGACCCATTTGTCTTTGCTTTTCTCATTAAACTGGCTACCGCTCTTGACACACGAGTCGGAGTAGAGTTTAAGAGCCTTCTACTTGTTTTTAAAGCCTTGCGTCGTTAAAGATCTGCAGACTCCGCCCTTCTCTGCGTTTCTCGATCCCGCCTGCGATCCTGGGGGGTGAGCGGCCACCCGCTGCGTCTGCGCCTCGGTTGTGGAATTTTCTCCCGTTGAAAATTCGTTTATCCGATAATGTGGACACTTTGAAGTCCCTTCTTTAAAAAAAAAACATCGTCTTCAGTCCGTTTAGTCGATGTAGCTATTCTCTCTCTCTCTCTTGGCCTTTCCTTATGCTTACGAGGCGCCTTGAGACGTTAGTGGAAGGCGCCTTGAGACGTTAGTGGAACGCGCCTCACAAATAGAATGTAAATTATTATTGTTGTTGTTGTGCCCGGCACCGTGATCGCTCACGGCTCGTATCGCGCTCGTCCAGCCACAGAGACATCGCCTCCTCCCCCCTCCCCCTCCTCCTCCTCCCTCCTGCATCTCCCTGCCACATATCCCTCCTGCATCTCACTCAATCTCTATCCCACGTCTCTCCCTCGCCCCACAACCTCTTGTGTGCATGATACGGGCATATGCTCCCCCAGCGCGTGTAGCCCTGTACAGGCTGTTGGGGGCAAGTGCTGCTAGTCGCAGGACCTGGGGGCAGGGGTCTGGAAGGGGGTCGAGGGAGCAGCGAGGCGGGGGTAGGGACTAGGTGTGGTTATTCAGGGGTGCGCTTGTGTGTGTGTGTGAGTGTTTGTGCGTGCGTTGGTGTGTCTGTATGTGTGGCTGTAGTGGTTAACGCGCCGTGCTACGAACCCGGCGACCAGAGTTCCATTCCCGCTCGCGCCCAACACCACAGTGACGATTATCAAAACCGATCCTGGGCCTCATCTAGGTCTACTGAGCCTTAAATGGGTACCCGGTGCGGTGTGCGAACATCGGCACAATGGAGACGAAGGCGGCCGGGCGTCGTGTTCGCCACCAACCCCCTTCTGTGCCGTGCCGGCCTTCCTCGGTGTTTGCTCGCTAACAGAGCTTGCCCCAACAGTCTGTTAAAGGCTATCTGGGGAGTCTTTGTGTGATCCGCCAAAAACAACCCCCACCTCTATGGTGGCGATCTGAAACGTTGTCGTGGCTGATCCCGATCGACTGTTTCCCTTCATGGCATGTGTAGCCCCCGTAGCGGCTAACTGGGGCTCTGGACCAGTGTGAGAGGCTGATGGCCCCCTTATCTTCATTTAAAATGATCACAAAAACCGCGTGTTAAATAGGCGTCTATCAGCGGTCTCCTGGCCAAACCCCATCTGGTGGAGCCGCGAGGCTGAACCCGCACCCTCGGGGTTCCTCCAAAAATGGTAAAAAGTCACTGCGAGTGACCACGTGAAATGTTCAAATGTTCACTGCCGGGAGCTGGACCAGTACCGCCTGGATCTCTATGGCATTCAGGAGGTCCGGTGAACTGGCTCTTGGTCCAGTCACCATGAGAGATCGACAGTCCTCCAAACAGCAGGGAGTGGCTCTTCCTCTGAGACAAAAGAATGAAGGGGGCATGTGAGGTGTGGGAAGCTGTAAGCCCCAGGCTACTGTGGGTTCACCTCTCTACCAATGGGAGGCAAGAACTGGTGCTGGTTGTTTACTGAAGATGAACATCAGTGGATAGATGGAGGCAAGGCCGATGAGTCAGATGCCTCCTATGACCTCCTGTCAGAGGTGCTGGCTAAAGTACCCCTTCAGTATAGAGTTATCCTTTCGGGTGACCTAAATGCCCGCTTGGGACTGGAGTGATTGGAAGGCATGGCCCAGATCAGCATAATGACAACGGCAGGAGGCTGCTAGACTTCTGTGCATCCCATGGGCTTGTGATTACCAAACACGCTGTTCCGGCTTCGGTGCATCCACACAACATCATAGATGCATGCCGGGTACAAGCAAGAACATCTGCTGGACTATATAGTGATGGAACAGCCCATATCATTGACACCAGCACCTACTGTGGAGCTGATCTGCCCACTGACCATCAGCTTGCCATCTGTAAGGTGCGCCTGCCATTCTTCCACTCCTGTGGTCAGTGTCCATCTCGGACCCCATTCAAACCCACAGCGGCTTGGTCTCAGCTAGGTGATGAAGGTTGCAAGTGAGAATTTCATTTTTTCATTGGCAGCATAACGCTGCTGTGTGGAAGCTACCTGGTGTGTCACTCCACACGAATTTTCCAGTCTTGTCGGCCGTAGTCATGCCTTCTCTTCTCTTTGCTTGCGAAACTTGGACCCCCCCCCCCCCCCCCCGCTAATGGAACTTCTGCGCCGGTTAAAAGCATTCAGGCTGGCCTGCCTACGATCCATCCTGGGTTTAACCTGCAGACTGGATCACAGTGTGAGGACCTCACAAATCCTTGACACAGTCCCATCGGTGAGCTCCTCCGGCAGGCAAGGCTGCGTTGTTGCTGCTGATGTTTATGTTGTTGCTGTTGCTGCTGATGTTGCTGCTGATGTTGCTGCTGATGTTTATGTTGTTGCTGCTGCTGATGTTGCTGCTGCTGTCGTGGTAGGGATGTCGGAGAGGCGCGGCAATGACAGCGCGGTGTGGGGGCCGCAGACCCCAGGGCCCCAGGGGGGGTCCCCGAACAACGCCCCCCTCGCCGAGTTGTACGAGGAGTACGAGGAGTACGAGTACAACGTTTCCTTCGAGGGGCTCTCCGCGAACAAATGTGAGTACCCCCCCCCCACCTCAGTGGAGAGGAGCACGTGACCTGGAGTGTGAGTACCCCCCCCCCCCACCTCAGTGGAGAGGAGCACGTGACCTGGAGTGTGAGTACCCCCCCCCCCCCACCTCAGTGGAGAGGAGCACGTGGCCTGGAGTGTGAGTACCCCCCCCCCCCCACCTCAGTGGAGAGGAGCACGTGACCTGGAGTGTGAGTACCCCCCCCCCCCACCTCAGTGGAGAGGAGCACGTGGCCTGGAGTGTGAGTACCCCCCCCCCACCTCAGTGGAGAGGAGCACGTGACCTGGAGTGTGAGTACCCCCCCCCCACCTCAGTGGAGAGGAGCACGTGACCTGGAGTGTGAGTACCCCCCCCCCACCTCAGTGGAGAGGAGCACGTGACCTGGAGTGTGAGTACCCCCCCCCCCACCTCAGTGGAGAGGAGCACGTGACCTGGAGTGTGAGTACCCCCCCCCCACCAATTAACGTGGCTCAGCTGGGGGGGGGGGGTCTCAACTCTCACCGTTGGTCTCGACGCGACTGCTCGGGCCACCATTATTCTACTCTTGCTGCCATGATGATGCCAGCAGCAGCAGAAGCAGCAGCAGCAGTAGCAGCAGCAGAAGCAGCAGTAGCAGCAGCAGAAGCAGCAGCAGCAGTAGCAGAAGCTGCAGCAGCAGAAGCAGCAGTAGCAGAAGCTGCAGCAGCAGAAGCAGCAGCAGCAGTAGCAGCAGCAGAAGCAGCAGCAGCAGTAGCAGCAGCAGAAGCTGCAGCAGCAGAAGCAGAAGCAGCAGTAGCAGCAGCAGCAGTAGCCGCCATGAGTTCTAGGAGGTCGACGCCGATGTGGGGGTCTGCTGCTGGCCACGACGAGAGGGCTTCAGCCGAGAGAGAGAGAGAGACAGAGAGACACAGTCCGTGTGTTTTGTGTTTGTATTCTGCCGTCCCTACCTCTACACAGCGGTTTCTGGGACGGTCCACAGTTTGGGTTGCATGGCCACGACCCCACCACATGCGGCGTCATGTCTTGAGCCGCAGCGATTGGAACGCGCGGGCCACGTCTTAACCCAACAGTGATGGCTCCGAGGCCGCTAGACTTCTGTGCAACCCGCCGGGGGCCCGTGAATACCAAGCGAGAACATCTGCGGAGTGACCGATTCCCCGAATGCCGGACCATGCCCTCGACGGCGGGGCCGATCTGCCCGCTGACCATCGTCTGTGTGACGCGCCCGCCATTCTCCCACTGTGGGTGGTGTGACTCGTGCGTAGGGGACCCGAGCGTGCGTGAGTGTACGGGGGTCAGGAGGCGGTCTCACTAACAGCGACAACCGTCCGAGTGAATTGACGGCTCGGAGCTCGGGGTCGGAGGTCACTAGCGCAGAGGAGACGGGGACGAGACCCCAATCAGAGTGCGGGGAGGGAGGGGGGCTCGACCCACGACCCTCGCACGATTCCCAGAGGATCCCAGCCCCCCCCCAACCTGTCACCCCCCCCCGTAAATAAAAATGTCTGTGAGTGCGGAGGTGTGAATCGGTGGCACAAGAGGGGAGAGAGAGGGGGGTGTAGAGAGAGGGGAAAGTGGGGGCAACTGGAGAGAATGGAGCGTGGAGAGAGGGGGGAGAGAGGGGGAGAGAGGGGGGAGAGAGGGTGGAGAGAGGGGGGAGAGAGGATGGAGAGAGGGTGGAGAGAGGGGGGAGAGAGGGTGGAGAGAGGGGGGAGAGAGGGTGGAGAGAGGGGAGAGAGAGGGTGGAGAGAGGGGGGAGAGAGGGTGGAGACAGGGTGGAGAGAGGGGGGAGAGAGGGTGGAGAGAGGGGGGAGAGAGGATGGAGAGAGGGTGGAGAGAGGGGGGAGAGAGGGTGGAGAGAGGGGGGAGAGAGGGTGGAGAGAGGGGGGAGAGAGGATGGAGAGAAGGGGGAGAGAGGGGGGAGCAGAGAGGGGAGAGTGGCGTAAAAGTCTGAGAGGGCTGAGAAGGGAGTAAGAGGCGATTAGAAGGGAGTACACAGGTGGGGGAGTGTGACCCCATGACCTCTTGTGCCCCCCCCTCGCCCAAGACTCGATCGTGATTGGCTTCTGGATCGGCCTGGCCGCGTTCATCGTCTTCCTCTTCACCGCCCTGGCGCTCATGGTCAACATGACCAACAGGAGGTGACCCCCCCCCCAACCCCCCCGTGATGTCCCGTGACCCCCCGTGACCCCTCACGAGCTCCCATGATCCCTCCTCATCCTCTCAATGACCCCGTGACCCTCGGAGCCCGCGGGTGCCCTGTGGCGACCCCCCTGGACTCACAGAGACCCGCAGACTCGCACAGAGATCTGCACAACGAGTCACGCGCTCGGCGGCGCAGAGATTTCCGCATTCCTGGCAATCGCCGTGCAGAGCGAATCCGCGCTCAGTGGGAGTCGTGCGTTGAGATGACGCAGATGATTTTGGTGCTACAAATGAACCTCGTGGCGGGGCCCGAATAATGGGAAGTCGAAATCGCAATGAATGTATTAATTTTTGGCGACTCGGTCCCACCGGGCACGCGAACGCCGTGACCCGCCTGGCGCCGATTGCTCCGTTGTCGCGTCGTCCACGCAACAGCGGCGAGGACGAATGCGCAGAAGAGAGAAAACTTTGAAACTTTGATTAGCGCGTCGTGTAGGGCTCGTCGAGAGGGACAGATCGCCGCGTCGTTCACCTTCAGCAGACGTAAAACGGCGTCGCAACGCAGTCCAGGCGAGAGCCGGGGGCTTATGGGGACCGCCATGAGGTTAAAATGTCTAAATGATGGGGGCCACTTTGTTGAGCTCTCGTGGTACCAGGTAGCTTATGAACGATACGGTCATACTCTCAGTGATGTTTGCGTGGTAGGATGGGGATGATTTAGTGTTAGTTGGTGTGTCAGGGTGGTTTGTTTACCTTTCGTGTACTTTGCACCCCTATCGTGTTTGTTGTTGTGACGTTCGTACCCCGCGCCCCTACTGGACATCTGTGGAAAAGAGCTTTATAGCTCATCGGATTCTTCCTGCAGTATAAATACAACATTCGGATTCTGGGTCATTTTCCCGGAAGGAATAATGGTGAAGGTAGGGGGGGGTGCCCCGTTCGAGTCTGTAATGATTGTTGTTTATTACTGACAGTACGGGACACCGTTTTGCACGTTCATGTTTTAAACGTGCCGTGTTCATGTAGTATTTGCATGAACACGCTATTGTGCGTGCCCGTCATTTCTTGCGATATTAATTGTGTGAGTGAGTGAGTGAGGAATGTGCGGCGAGCCAAAATGACACGGGGGTGAGATGTCTGGAGACACGCAAAGATGCTTCCGGAACAAAGATGGAGTGCCGTGTATCACAGCGCTCATAAAATACTGCAGTACCAGTCCTAGAGTACCAGTCCTAGAGTACCCCGATCCTGACGCCTGCTGCTGCTGCTGTATATTTGGGGGTTGCGATGTCTCTCTCCCCGTGGTCGCGTTGAGCAATCAACGTCACGCGTTTAGAGAGAATTTGCCTACTGATAATACATTCCCTTATGATGATGATAATCCACTTTGGTTGAGCTGTCATTTTTGATGGCCAGGTCGCTTCTGAATGAGAGCTGTATAGCTCAGTGGGCCTTACCTGGTAACATTTAAAATGCTGTAGCTATAGTTGTAAGAAAAAGAAGACCCACCATATGAAACCGTTCAGAAAATATACCACCAGCTCCGTGTGTAAAGACAACAATAGCCCTAACAGACTGTAGGATCACGCGCGCAGTCGTGAAACGTGAAAGTGACGGCTGCTGCGGAAACATTAAACTTTGGTGACTGTTTTGAGAAACAAGCCAAGCAAAGAAAAAAACGGCCCGGCATTAGACACTCAAAATGACTGATGTCTCTATCCTGGCCCTGTCTCTCCACTCTCACCCTGACCCTGTCTCTGACCCTGCCCCTGTCTCTGACCCTGCCCCTGACCCTGCCCCTGCCTCTGACCCTGCCCCTGACCCTGCCCCTGTCTCTAGCCCTACCCCTGTCTCTAACCCTGTCTCTGACCCTGACCCTGTCTCTAACCCTGTCTCTGACCCTGACCCTGTCTCTAACCCTGTCTCTGACCCTGACCCTGTCTCTGACCCTGCCCCTGTCTCTAACCCTGCCCCTGTCTCTGACCCTGCCCCTGACCCTGCCCCTGTCTCTGACCCTGCCCCTGTCTCTAGCCCTACCCCTGTCTCTAACCCTGTCTCTCACCCTGTCCCTGCCCCTGTCTCTAGCCCTGCTCCTGTATCTCACCCTGTCTCTGATCCTGCCCCTGTATCTCACCCTGCCCTGACCCTGCCCTGTCCCTGCCCCTGACCCTGCCCCTGTCTCTGACCCTGCCCCTGTCTCTGACCCTAGCGGGCTGCGAGGGGCAGGGTGCGAGCTGAGCCACGAGCGGCGGCGCTGGCACCGGCGCAGCGGCGGCAGCAGCAGCAGCAGCGCCTCCCGCGGGGGTGCCGCCCACCTGGTGCTCAACGAGGGCGGCCCGGACTACGTGGCCGGGGTCCAGGACCCCGAGCAAGGGGACCCCGAGCAAGGGGATCCCGAGCAAGGGGACCCCGGCGCGGGGGACTTTCCTCAGCCACGGTCGCCCGTCGCCGCCCCCCCTCGCGCTCCCCCGCGTCGTCCCGGGGGTTCCGCCCCCCCCCCCAACCGTGGACCCCGGGTGGGTCGGGATGGCCTGGGCCTCGAGCAAGGAGCCCGAGGTGTACTCAGAGTGCCGGATCCCCCTCGTGGGGGGCCTGCCAGGTAACGGGGGGTGCGGCGGGGGGCACAGGGGGTGACATGTATTTAAAGTGACATTTTTTCCGTGAGTGCAGTAATTTAGATATCTTCCGTAATGCGTCTGTCTCTGATCTCTGTCTGTCTGTCTCTACTCTGATGTCTACCTGTCTGTCTCTGTTCTGATCTCTATCTGTCTCTACTTTGATCTCTATCGGTCTGTCTCTACTCTGATCTCTATCTGTCTGTCTCTACTCTGATCTATATCTGTCTGTCTCTGCTCTGATCTCTATCTGTCTGTCTCTACTCTAATCTCTGTCTATCTCTACTCTGATCTCTGTCTATCTCTACTCTGATCGCTATCTGTCTATCTCTACTCTGATCTCTATCTGTCTGTCTCTACTCTGATCTCTATCTGTCTATCTCTACTCTGATCTCTGTCTGTCTGTCTCTACTCTGATCTCTATCTGTCTGTCTCTGCTCTGATCTCTGTCTGTCTCTGCTCTGATCTCTATCTGTCTGTCTCTACTCTGATCTCTATCTCTACTCTGATCGCTATCTGTCTATCTTTACTCTGATCTCTGTCTATCTCTACTCTGATCTCTGTCTGTCTCTGCTCTGATCTCTATCTGTCTGTCTCTGCTCTGATCTCTGTCTGTCTCTGCTCTGATCTCTATCTGTCTGTCTCTACTCTGATCTCTATCTGTCTGTCTCTGCTCTGATCTTTATCTATCTGTCTCTACTCTGATCTCTATCTCTACTCTGATCTCTATCTGTCTCTCTCTGCTCTGATCTCTGTCTGTCTCTACTCTGATCTCTGTCTGTCTCTGCTCTGATCTCTATCTGTCTGTCTCTACTCTGATCTCTATCTGTCTGTCTCTACTCTGATCTCTATCTGTCTGTCTCTACTCTATCTCTGTCTCTACTCTGATCTCTATCTGTCTGTCTCTGCTCTGATCTCAATCTGTCTGTCTCTGCTCTGATCTCTATCTGTCTGTCTCTGCTCTGATCTTTATCTGTCTGTCTCTACTCTGATGTCTATCTATCTGTCTCTACTCTGATCTCTATCTGTCTGTCTCTACTCTGATCTCTATCTGTCTCTCTCTGCTCTGATCTCTGTCTGTCTCTACTCTGGTCTCTGTCTGTCTCTACTCTGGTCTCTGTCTGTCTGGTTGTTGTCAGCGATTGCTGCCGTCTTTGTGGGAGTCCCCAGCCTCCCTCTTGGCAATGAGAATCCCCTCTGGCGCTCTCCCCTCGCCGCTAAAAATCTCAACTTGAAACGTGAATCTCGCCAAGCAGATTCTGACCCCCCACCTTGCTCCCACCCCGCCCTCCGCCCCTCCCTCCCTTGCCCTCCCACCTTTCCCCCCACCCCGCCCCCCCCCCGTTCGCTCTCTGCTTCTGCCGTTCGCAGCGCCGTCGCTCCCCGTCGCCTCTCCCGACGAGGCCCCCCACGGTGAGGGGCGACCCCATTCACCGGTCTCCCCCCTGGCGCTGTCCCCTCTGCCGGTCCCCCTCCCGGGACGACTCCAGCTCGACCTCGACCCCTAGCGGGACGACTCCAGCTCGACCCCGACCCCTAGCAGGACGACTCCACCTCGACCCCTAGCGGGACGACTCCACCTCGACCCCTAGCAGGACGACTCCAGCTCGACCTCGACCCCTAGCGGGACGACTCCGGCTCGACCCCGACCCCTAGCGGGACAACTCCACCTCGACCCCTAGTGGGACGACTCCAGCTCGACCTCGACCCCTAGCGGGACGACTCCAGCTCGACCCCGACCCCTAGCAGGACGACTCCACCTCGACCCCTAGCGGGACGACTCCACCTCGACCCCTAGCGGGACGACTCCACCTCGACCCCTAGCGGGACAACTCCACCTCGACCCCGACCCCTAGCGGGACGACTCCAGCTCGACCCCGACCCCTAGCAGGACGACTCCACCTCGACCCCTAGCGGGACGACTCCACCTCGACCCCTAGCGGGACGACTCCAGCTCGACCTCGACCCCTAGCGGGACGACTCCGGCTCGACCCCGACCCCTAGCGGGACAACTCCACCTCGACCCCTAGCGGGACGACTCCACCTCGACCCCTAGCGGGACGACTCCAGCTCGACCTCGACCCCTAGCGGGACGACTCCAGCTCGACCCCGACCCCTAGCTGGACGACTCCACCTCGACCCCTAGCGGGACGACTCCACCTCGACCCCTAGCGGGACAACTCCACCTCGACCCCGACCCCTAGCGGGACGACTCCAGCTCGACCCCGACCCCTAGCAGGACGACTCCACCTCGACCCCTAGCGGGACGACTCCACCTCGACCCCTAGCGGGACGACTCCACCTCGACCCCGACCCCTAGCGGGACGACTCCGGCTCGATCCCGACCCCTAGCGGGACGACTCCACCTCGACCCCGACCCCTAGCGGGACGACTCCTACTCGACCCCGACCCCTAGCGGGACGACTCCACCTCGACCCCAACCCTTCCCGGGACGACTCCACCTCGACCCCGACCCCTCCCGGGACGACTCCACCTCGACCCCGACCCCTAGCGGGACGACTCCACCTCGACCCCGACCCCTCCCGGGACGACTCCACCTCGACCCCGACCCCTAGCGCCGTGCGTGGAGACCGTGCCGAGCTAGGGTCTCAGCAAACACTCACCTGCTCACCAACCCACCCACCCGCTCACCAACCCACACATCCGCTCACCAACCCACACATCCGCTCACCAGCACACCCACCCACTTCTCCCCCACTCACTCACTCACCCTCTCTCTCTCAGAGTTGCTACGGTTGTCATGGCGCTTCAGGGCGCTCGTCGCGCCACGCAGGGAGGCGCCACCGCCACCACCACCACCACAACCACCGCCACCACCACTGCCACCACCACCGCCACCACCACCACCGCCACCACCACGCCACCACCACCACCACCGCCACCACCACTGCCACCACCACCGCCACCACCACTGCCACCACAACCGCCACCACCACCACCACCACCATCACCACCACCACCACCGCCACCACTGCCACCGCCACCACCACCACCACCGCCGCCACCACCACCACTGCCACCACCGCCACCACCACCACCACCGCTGCCACCACCACCACCACCACCGCCACCACCACCACCACCACTGCCTCCACCACCGCCACCACCACCACCGCCACCACCACCACCGCCACTGCCACCACCACCACCACCACCGCCACCACCACTGCCACCACCACCGCCACCACCACTGCCGCCGCCACCACCACCGCCGCCACCACCTGTGTCGTAGTCACGTGATACCCCCGTGTCGTAGTCACTGCGTGCGCGCGAAACGGCAACGTTTACCAGGGGCGGCCTGCCGGGTCCCAACCGCGAGACCGCCGCGGCGAGCGGCCTACAGCTGACTCGCGTTATCCGGTGTTCGTCGTTTAGCTACGGATACTGGGGCGGGGTATAGAACGTTTCGTGTGATTGTGTTGTTAGATGAAGGCTGCCCGGAGTGGATGGTTTTGTGGGTCAAGGCACGACGGGGTTAATGACCTGGGGGAGTTTGTGTTGTGAGTCCCCTCCACCACCCCACCCGATTCAGCGGATCGAATTAAATAGTCGCGTGGCGTGCGAGCGTCTTAACACGTTGCGGCGAATACTCAGCCGGTGAGCGAGAGAGCGATTCTCACACTCGCTCACCCACTCACACCCACGCTCACCCGGTGAGTGAGAGAGCGATTCAGACACTCGCTCACCCACTCACATCCACGCTCACCCAGTGAGCGATTCTCACATTCGCTCACCAACTCACACCCACGCTCACCCGGTGAGTGAGAGAGCGATTCTCACACTCGCTCACCCACTCACATCCACGCTCACCCGGTGAGTGAGAGGGCGATTCTCACACTCGCTCACCCACTCACACCCACGCTCACCCGGTGAGTGAGAGAGCGATTCTCACACTCGCTCACCCACTCACACCCACGCTCACCCGGTGAGTGAGAGGGCGATTCTCACACTCGCTCACCCACTCACACCCACGCTCACCCGGTGAGTGAGAGAGCGATTCTCACAGCGAGATTCACCAGCGATTGCAGACCTCGACATTGGATGCGAAACTGCCTCAGGCAACACTCCAGGATGCGGCGCATTCGCCACTTGTTGCAGATGTTCACGGTTCGAACTCATCGGCCGCCCTGGTTAATCCAGGTGGTTTAGACGGGGGGTGGGTGTGGAAGATCAGGGGGAGGAAGTGTGGAGCTATGGGGGGCAGGCATGCCCGGGGACGACTTAGATAGTTACTCTGGAGCGGAGGTAAATTGTTCTCGCTGTCGTTTATGTTCGTCCGGATAACAGGGGTAGAACGTACGGATAACAGGGGTATAATGTACGGATAAGAGGGAAATATAAGGATAGGTGTATGCCCCCGTCCCCGTCCCGCTTAACACCCCAGCCCCCCATGCCTGGGAAGCGATTCACGTGGAGTTGCCACCTGTCCCGGGTTTGACTCGCTTTCGGTCCGGGAATCGGTGTCATCTGCGTTCCAGGTGGCGGCAGCAGGAATTGGTTTGTGCCGGTGTCTCTGCACCTCACGGCAGGATAGACCGCCCAGGGTTGACGATCATCGACTCTGGAGCTACTCAAAGTACACCAAAACCTTGACCATCGCGGGGGGGCGTGGGGGGGTCAGGTTTCGTGAAAAATAGCCCCGCAATCGGCAAATCGGCGATCAGGGCAAAGGTCTGGCGTATATGGCAACGATGAGACGTCCACATCGTGCGAGAACACGAGCAGAGCGGGCTGGATCGACGAGGGCAAAGCGACCACAATACACGGACCCTCTTCAGAGGAAGCGCCGATGGTTTCTGCACACAGCCAAACGCACGCTTTGTGTTGCGTTGTGCCAGCGTGTCGCTTGAGAGCCTGGAGCAGAATGAGAAACGGTGGGACAGGTGGTGGTGGTGGCGGCGGCGGCGGCGGTGGCCGATGTTCGAGGTTACAGCGGAATCAATTCCGCGGGCTAGCTGCGCGCCGGTGGAATACGTGAGTGGTTGATTGCAGGGCAATCGCGGTGTCGGGGCGTGCGTGACGAGACTTGGTGAGACACACAGCGAACGAGATCATCGCCGTAAATTCAACCTCTTGAGGTCCCCACGGTGCATTTCATTTGATTGCATCTCGTTTTACATTTATGTTCAACGCCGACACGTAACGCTGCCCAGCCGCAAAACGGTGTCCCCTCGCTCTCACAGAGAGAGAGAGAGAGCGAGGAGACGACTTAGGGAGAGAGGGACGACTTAGGGGGAGAGGGGACGACTTAGGGAGAGAGGGGACGACTTAGGGAGAGAGAGGGACGACTTAGGGAGAGAGGGGACGACTTAGGGAGAGAGAGAGAACGACTTAGGGAGAGAGGGACGACTTATGGAGAGAGGGACGACTTAGAGAGAGGGACGACTTAGGGAGAGAGGGCGACTTAGGGAGAGAGGGACGACTTAGAGAGAGAGGGACGACTTAGAGAGAGAGGGACGACTTAGGGAGAGAGGGGACGACTTAGGGAGAGAGGGGACGACTTAGGGAGAGAGAGGACGACTTAGGGAGAGAGGGACGACTTAGGGAGAGAGAGAACGACTTAGGGAGAGAGGGGCGACTTTAGGGAGAGAGGGACGACTTAAGGAGAGACAGACGACTTAGGGAGAGAGAGAACGACTTAGGGGGAGAGGGACGACTTAGGGAGTGAGGGACGACTTAAGGAGGGACAGACGACTTAGAGAGAGAGAGAACAACTTAGGGGGAGAGGGACGACTTAGGGAGAGAGAGAACGACTTAGGGAGAGAGAGAACGACTTAGGGAGAGAGAGAACGACTTAGGGGGAGAGGGGACGACTTATGGAGAGGGATGACTTAGGGAGAGAGGGACGACTTAGGGAGAGAGGGACGACTTAGAGAGAGAGGGACGACTTAGGGAGAGAGGGCGACTTAGGGAGAGAGGGACGACTTAGAGAGAGAGGGACGACTTAGAGAGAGCGACGACTTAGGGAGAGAGGGGACGACTTAGGGAGAGAGGGGACGACTTAGGGAGAGAGGGACGACTTAGGGAGAGAGAGAACGACTTAGGGAGTTAGGGGCGACTTTAGGGAGAGAGGGACGACTTAAGGAGAGACAGACGACTTAGGGAGAGAGAGAACGACTTAGGGGGAGAGGGACGACTTAGGGAGAGAGGGACGACTTAAGGAGAGACAGACGACTTAGGGAGAGAGAGAACGACTTAGGGGGAGAGGGACGACTTAGGGAGAGAGAGAACGACTTAGGGAGAGAGAGAACGACTTAGGGAGAGAGAGGGACGACTTAGGGAGAGAGGGGACGACTTCGGGAGAGAGGGACGACTTAGGGAGAGAGACGACTTAGGGAGAGAGGGACGACTTAGGGAGAGAGAACGACTTAGGGAGAGAGGGACGACTTAGGGAGAGAGAGAACGACTTAGGGAGAGAGGGGACGACTTAGGGAGAGAGAGAACGACTTAGGGAGAGAGGAACGACTTAGGGAGAGAGAGAACGACTTAGGGAGAGAGGGACGACTTAGAGAGAGAGAACGACTTAGGGAGAGAGGGGACGACTTAGGGAGAGAGGGACGACTTAGAGAGAGAGGGACGACTTAGGGAGAGAGGGACGACTTAGGGAGAGAGGGATGACTTAGGAAGAGAGGACGACTTAGGGAGAGGGGACGACTTAGGAAGAGAGGACGACTTAGGGAGAGAGAGACGACTTAGGGAGAGAGAGAACGACTTAGGGAGAGAGGGGACGACTTAGGGAGAGAGGGACGACTTAGGGAGAGAGAGACGACTTAGGGAGAGAGGGACGACTTAGGGAGAGAGAGAACGACTTAGGGAGAGAAGGACGACTTAGGGAGAGAGAGACGACTTAGGGAAAGAGGGACGACTTAGGGAGAGAGGGAACGACTTAGGGAGAGAGAGAACGACTTAGGGAGAGAGAGAGAACGACTCAAAGGTGCCAGGAGGAACCACACACGAGCAGGGAGGCAGCAGCAGCAGCCACATGGTGATAACCAGCGCTACCAACAATTGCCAAGCTCTGCGGTCCTCTATATATCCAGGTGTTTTGAGCCAACTAATGGGTGGTCATTGCGTGTGTGTGTGTGTGTGAAGAAACCAGAGTACCCGGAGGAAAATCCGCGCGTGCGATGGGTAAGCACTTTATCCCTTGAACTTCGAACTTCTTTCTCACCGTACATAGCCAACCTGCTAATCGGTTAGCTACGTTGGTTCCATCCCGTACAGATGGAACAGATGGAGTCAACATTTTTTGCAATAACCACCTCCTCCTGGCGAGCCAGGTGGGTGAGGCTCCTCCTCGACGCCTATGGAAGGAAGTTTCACGGCATCTGTGTGTGATCCAACCCTCGCCAGCTGATCTACAATGCTGAGTCACATGCCAAGTCCATTTCAGTTCAAACCAGGTTCATCATCATCATCATCACCACCAGCCATTGTCTATCCACTGCCAGATAAAGGACTCCCACCCCCCCCCCCCCCCTCCGAAGCCGCCTTTATCATCCCTGTAAGGCCACGCGATGGAATGATCCGTCTAGCGCGCAGCTTTAGACACGCGAGGAGCCAATCTCATGGACCGGTTCAGATATTCGTCACCGGTGTTGGTGGCCGTGAACGGGAGTCGAACTCGGGTGGCCGGGTTCGTGGCGCAGTGCAGTGCTGACCATAGCGCCACCGCTCCTCACGCTCGCACACGTTGGTGGACATGACTCGCTCATGCTGATTGAAAAACTTTATTTAAACCATCGAAGTAGAGCGGCGGGAGAGGGGGTTTGGGCCAGTCGCGGGAGGCTGGGCAAGCTGAGTGGGGGCCCGGGTAGTTGAGTGGGGGCCCGGGTAGTTGAGTGGGGGGCCCAGCTGGTTGAGTGGGGGGGGGGGTCCCGACTAGTTGAGCAGGCAGGACTCGTAGGTGGGCACCATGTACTTGATGTTGATGAAGGCATCCTCGCCGCCGTGCCGCTCCAGCGTCTCCAGCGTCTCCTCGATCAGCTCGCCCACGTTCTCGCGCTTCTGCTGACTGTAGTCGATCTCGTCGCCAGAGTTCCCTACCGGGGGGCGGGGGTGGGGGGTGGGGTGTGGGGGAGGGGCACCGGGGAGAGCGTTACCGGAGTGGCACCTGGGGGCAGGCACAGCTGGTAATGGCAGTGGTGGTGGTGGTAGTAGTGGTGGTGGTGGTAGTAGTGGTGGAGGTAGTAGTCATGGTGGTGGAGGTGGTGGTGGTAGTTAGTGGTCGTGGTGGTGGAGGTGGTGGCGGAGGTGGTGATGATGGTGGTGGTGGTAGTGATGGAGGTGGTGGTAGTTAGTGGTCATGGTGGTGGAGGTGGTGGTAGTTAGTGGTCATGGTGGTGGAGGTGGTGGCAGAGGTGGTGATGATGGTGGTGGTGGTAGTGGTGGATGTGGTGGTAGTTAGTGGTCATGGTGGTGGTGGAGGTGGTGGAGGTCGCGGTGGTGGAGATGGCGGAGATGGAGGTGATGATGGCCGTGGTGGTGGAGGTGGTGATGGCGGTGGTGGAGATGGCGGAGGTGGCGGAGGTGGTGATGGTGGTGGTGGTGGCGGTGGCGGTAGTGGAGATGGCGGAGGTGGAGGTGGTGATGGCCGTGGTGGTGGAGGTGGTGATGGCGGTGGTGGAGATGGCGGAGGTGGAGGTGGTGATGGCCGTGGTGGTGGAGGTGGTGATGGCGGTGGTGGAGATGGCGGAGGTGGAGGTGGTGATGGCCGTGGTGGTGGTGGCGGTGGTGATGGCCGTGGTGGTGGAGGTGGTGATGGCGGTGGTGGAGATGGCGGAGGTGGCGGAGGTGGTGATGGTGGTGGCAGTGGTGGAGATGGCGGAGGTAGAGGTGGTGATGGCCGTGGTGGTGGAGGTGGTGATGGCGGTGGTGGAGATGGCGGAGGTGGAGGTGGTGATGGCCGTGGTGGTGGTGGTGGTGGCGGTGGTGATGGCCGTGGTGGTGGAGGTGGTGATGGCGGTGGTGGAGATGGCGGAGGTGGCGGAGGTGGTGATGGTGGTGGCAGTGGTGGAGATGGCGGAGGTAGAGGTGGTGATGGCCGTGGTGGTGGAGGTGGTGATGGCGGTGGTGGAGATGGCGGAGGTGGAGGTGGTGATGGCCGTGGTGGTGGTGGGTTTATCTTGGCTGATTGCCTCACGGAGTTCACTTCACTTGGCACTGTCAGGGTGAGGGCTGGAGAGAGGGTCACAGTCACAGTCAGAGTCGTGCTTGTAGGCAGGGATAAGGTCAATCAGGGTCAGAGTCGTCAGGGTTAGAGACAGGAGCAGGGTCAGGGTCACGGTTGTAGGCAGGGATAAGGTCAATCAGGGTCAGAGTCGTCAGGGTTAGAGACAGGAGCAGGGTCAGGGTCACGGTTGTAGCCAGGGATAAGGTCAATCAGGGTCAGGGTCAGAGACAGGAGCAGGGTCAGGGTGACGGTTGAGAGTTTCAAATCCGCGCTGCACCGGAGCAACTCGGCAGTTGCTACACGCGATGCAGCAGATTCAACCTGATTACGATACACAACTGTTTTGTAGGGATTTAACGTTTTTTAGCGGTGAGAAGTAATGCGTGCACGGGGCTGAGTTGCACGGGGCTGAGTTGTTGCACGTGACTGAGTTGTTGCACGTGACTGAGTTGTTGCACGTGACTGAGTTGTTGCACGTGACTGAGTTGTTGCACGTGACTGCTCGCTCGTGTGTAGGCAAGGGGCCCGGCTGGGTGGGGAGGGGGGTCGTGGGGTTCAAGTCTCCGCTCACGGTTCTTGTTCTTGAAGATGTTGAGGATGGGCAAAATCTGGCGGTAGTAGGGCACCAGCGCCTCGCCCACCATGTCGGCCGACAGCACCAGGTGCTGCAGCACCTTGAGCGACGTGCACATCACCTGTGTGTTGCGCGTGTTCAGCGCATCTGGACACACGCACAGACACACACACACTCATGTAGCCATAGTACACACACACACTCCCATGTAGCCATAGTACACACACACACTCCCGTGTAGCCATAGTACACACACACACTCCCGTGTAGCCATAGTACACACACACACTCCCGTGTAGCCATAGTACACACACACACACTCCCGTGTAGCCATAGTACACACACTCTCATATACACATAGTACACACACACACTCCCGTGTAGCCATAGTACACACACACACACACTCCCGTGTAGCCATAGTACACACACTCTCATGTACACATAGTACACACACACACACTCCCGTGTAGCCATAGTACACACACACTCTCATGTACACATAGTACACACACACACTCCCGTGTAGCCATAGTACACACACACACACACTCTCATGTACACATAGTACACACACACACACTCCCGTGTAGCCATAGTACACACACACACTCCCGTGTAGCCATAGTACACACACACACTCTCATGTACACATAGTACACACACTCTCATGTACACATAGTACACACACACTCCCGTGTAGCCATAGTACACACACACTCCCGTGTATACATGGTAAACACACTCCCGTGTAGCCATAGTACACACACACACTCCCGTGTATACATGGTAAACACACTCCCGTGTAGCCATAGGTCAGAGATGGTGTCTTCCAGGTGCTGAACCCCTCTGGCACAAATGGACCTGTCCAGCGCTAGTGGTTCCAGCCTGGAGGGATTGATGTAACAGCGCTTCAGCAGGTCCTTGCTGTGGTCGTTGAAGCGCTTTTTCTGTCCTCCAGCGGAGCGTTTGGCTGTACTGAATTGGCCATAGAGAACTCGACGGGGGAGGCGGTGGTCAGACATGCGGATCACGTGGCCAAGCCTGCGGAGGTGTCGTTTAGCCACGCTTGCCTCAACGCAGGACGACTTGGTGTTGGTGAGGATCTCAGTATGTGGAACTTTGCCCTTCCAGGGTAGCCCTAGGATGCACTGGAGGCACCTGATATGGAATGCCTCCAGGATGTTAATGTCAGGAGTGCACGGTCGTCTGCATATTGCAGTTCAAAGATCTGTTGGGTTCTGGGTTTTGTGTGGGCTTGGAGGCGTCTTAGGGTGAAGAGATTTCCATCCAGACGGTACTGTCGCTGGATTCAGTCGATTGAGTTGAGGGAGTTGTGTGCCAAGCTTGTGATGGCAGCAAGGAGCCATGTTGAATATGACTGGAGCCAGAACACGGACTTGCTTGACCCTGACCTCCACGTTGAAGGGCCCTGAATGAAGCCCACCAAACACCACCCTGGCATGCATTCCTTCATGGGACTGTTTTAGAATGCTTAGAAACTTGGGAGGCACCTCAAGTTTAATGAGCTGCTGCCAGAGTATCTCGCTGGTTGATGGTGTCGAATGCTTTGGTCAGGTCGATACAAGCTACGAAGAGGTCTTTGTTTTGCTCCTGGAATTTTTCCTACAGTTGCTTTGCCACAAATATCATGTCAGTGGTGCTTCTGCCTTTCCTAAAGCCGCACTGGGATTCTGGGAGGATGTTTTCAGATAGGTGCTCTACGAGCCGGTAGAGCGTTATCCTTGAGAGGACCTTCCCTGCGACTGAAAGAAGGGAGCAGATACCTCTGCTGTTGCCACAAGCCGCTCTGTCACTTTTCTTCTTGTAGATAACTACAATATTTGCATCCTTCCATTCCTGTCGGATGGTTTCGGAAAGCCAGATTGACTTGATGAGAAGGTGCAATCGGCGAAGGAGGAGGTTGTCCCCCGTCCTTCAGGATTTCAGCTGGGATGCCATCGGGTCCAGCACTTTTATTGTTTCTCAGGCCTTTGAACACCTGGTGGCACTCAGAAAATTGTGGTGGAGTGTCGAGTTCATGAACGGGCGCAATATCAGGGAGTGTGTCGAGAATGAGCAGGTCTGTGAGGTTGGTGTGGTTGAGGAGATTATCAAAGTGACTCGGCTTCCTGTTTCACCATGATGGCTAGCCAGCGGCAGCGTTTGAAAGCATGGGTAGCTAAACATAGCAATCAGAGCAGCAGGCAAGCAAGCAAGCGGGCATGCACCTAAGCTAATCATGATTACAGTTTCAGTTCACTCAGTGCATCACATCACCCTGTGGTTTAGGCAACCACCAACCCACCAGCCATATTATATAGTACACACATAGTACACACACACAGCCTCCCGTGTAGCCATACAGACTGTACATACAAAGACAAGATGCCCTGTATCGTCTGAGAAGACTGTTGGGGCAAGGCCGGCCTTCATTATCTGCCACGGTGCACGAGGGCGTGGGTGGCCAACACTAGGCCCCACCGCCTTTGTCTTCCTAGTAAACCGGTTCAGATAATCGTCACATGGTAGGGATGATAATGATGGTGGCAATGATGGTGACGACGATGATAGTGATGGAGGCGCCGCTTACTCTTTATGACAATGATGATGGTGGCGACGAGGGTGACAACGATGATGGTCTCTCCAGTGTTGCCGCTTGTTCGAAGAGGAGAGACCAAGTACTACGAAAGCACTTTGCAAATGGCAACATCACCCCTGGCACTTTCTTGTTTTTTCACCAGCCAGCCCAGCATACTGGAGCTGGCTTCTCATTATTGCTGGGGACGTCGAATTGAATCCAGGCCCGTTTTTCCCTTGTGGCGGCTGCGGCAAGAACGTCAATGCAAATTCTATCCAATGCAACGGTTGTAAAGCTTGGTACCACAAACACTGCACTACTTTAGCCCGCATCTCCAGTTCAAATTCCGGCTGGTTCTGCAATTACTGTACATCATCCACTCCAACAACTCCATCTTGCACAACCACACTAGCACCACCACCTCATCCATTGCAACCACCGTTTCAACCACAACAAAACGTCCACTGCAAAAACGACCTAAAATCCTTCAACTAAACATCAACGGCATCAACAACAAATCCCTTGAACTCGGCACCTTCCTACGACAAAACTCCTTTAATATAGCCGCCATCCAAGAAACAAAATGTAAATATACTTCTCGCCCGCCCAACTATCAAAATTTAACTTTCCTCCGTCAAGACTGACCAACAGCTGGGGCGGTCTAGCTTCCCTCATCCATAACATCATTCAATTTGATTTTTTTTAAATCCCAATGCCTCCTTCTGATATCACCACAGAAGTCTTAAGTGTCCGTATCAAATCCCATCGAGGCCCACTTACTATAATCAACGTCTACATCCCACCGACAAGTTCTTACCCTCGCAACTATCAGTTCAATATAAATCGATTTTTATCAAACAATGACTTAATTGTTATTAGAGATTTCAACGTCCACAGCAAACTTTGGCGCTCTTCCCTTTCAGATGCACGTGGCAACCTCAATGCCGATATCTTCAACGGCTCCCTCTATGGGGTACTCAATGAAAAGAATCAAACCAGAGTTCCATCATCTGGCCTTTCATCCTCACCAGATATCTCAATATTGTCAGGAAACCTCCTTTCATCAATCGACTGGCAACTCTTTACGACCCTTGGATCTAACCACCTACCTATTGTGTTGACCCTCAATGCCACCAAGCCTTCACAAACTCCTAAAAACCGCTTGTATTACAACTTAAAAAAAGCCAACTGGTCACTTTTTACTTCAGAATCAGAAGCATTATTTGCCGACAACATCCAACATATCCACACATGCGCGCATAACTCTGAAGAGATTTTCAGAAACATCATCGCAACTACCACCAAGCGCACCATCCCGGCGGGTTGCTACTAGGAACACCTTCCCTGCCTCCCTAAAGAAGCCTCAACGCTAATAAACCAACGAAACACTATTAGGACTAAAAATCCTACATCACCACAAATCCCAGCCTTCAATATTGAAATCACAAAGCTAATCAATCAAGCCAAAACAGAATGCTGGCACGAGTTTATTGAATCTTTTGACCGCTGCCAAAACTCATCAAAACTTTAGAAGACCATCAAAGCCTTAGATGGACACTCCAAACCACCACCAAATTGTGCAATCAATTTCAACAACAAATCCGTCATAAACAACAATAACATTGTCAACCACTTCAACAAACTTTTCTCATCAGTCGTCCCACACTCTTCCAATCCATCTGTCAAAAAATCCGTCAAATCAAGGAACTACCTCTAAACAACACCCCCCAATTTAGCCTTGAAGAGGTGAAACTAGCTATCAAAAATGCTTCCGCAATTGGCCCCGATGGTATAGCTATGCCCTACCTCAAACACCTCGGCCCCCTTGGCATAAAGTTTCTCGCTTCCACCATTAATGCCTCACTCCAGTGCAATCTCATTCCGGCCATCTGGAAATCATCGACAATCATCCCGCTTCCAAAACCCGGCAAAGACCTAAATCAAGCAACGTCCTACAGGCCGATTTCCCTACTTTGCCCATCAATCAATATTTTAGAGGCCCTCATCCTTCCAATCATCACCACCAACTTACCTCCATCATCTCACCAACATAGCTTTCGCCCTGCACACTCAACAACAACAGCTCTTCTCAACCTAACCATCCAAATTGCAAACGGTTTAAATGAGAAAAAACCCCCATCCCAAACTATCGTCGCTTCCATTGACCTTACAAAGGCTTTCGACACCGTTAACCACCTCACGCTCATCAACACCATCTAGGGTTCTGTGCTACCATCAGGCCTTGTTTGCTGGCTTACAAATTACCTAAGGGGCCGCCAATCACGCACTCTCTTTCGTGATATTCAATACTACTCATGAAGCATTCATCCAGGAGTACCATAAGGTTCCATAATATCCCCAGCGCTGTTCCACGCCTACCTCCACGATCTGCCAACTCCTCCAAAAGGAGTACAAGTAGTCAGCTATGCTCACGACATCACAGTTTACACTTGTAATCAAAATATACCCAAAATGGAAAACTCCATCAACTCCTATCTAAAACGGCTCAGCACTTTCCTAGCCAATAGATCGCTTCAACTCTCAACATCCAAATCAACAGTCACCCTTTTCACACCTGACCCTCATCACGCCAACTTACATCTTTTGACACCATGTTCAGCTTCGCTCAACACGGCAGAAACGTCCATGCAAAAGTTAACAAACGAAATAACATCTTACGAGCTTTAGCCGGCATATCTTGAGGTCAACAAAAGGAGACTTTACTCCTAACCTACAAAGCCATTGGACGTTCCATCATCAATTATGCCAGTCCCATTTGGTGCCCAAACCTCTCCTCTACAGGTTAACAAAAGCTCCAAACTGCCCAAAACCAAGCACTTCGCCTAGCCACAGGATGCCACCTCATGGCGCCCATTGACCATCTTCACCAAGAAACCAAAGTTCTTCCGATTCAAGAACACTGCAAGCTTCTCACCAATCAATATATGTCTTCATGCCACTCGACGACGCATCCTTGCATAAAGCTACTCAATGCCCCTGCACCTGCTAGGAAAATTAAATCCACCTTGCTTTCTTTCAGCTCTGGCAACGTGCAATCTACTTTAAATGCTCGTCCACCAAATAGCACCACCAAATCAATTTTGAATCACTTGCACACCACTGCCACCATGCACTGCCTGAACGCCGACAAGCCCAATGTCGTGCTAGGGGGTTGGCCCCCACCCATAGCAAAAATCCCTGACCCGGGCAACTCGCACAAAACTGGCTAAACCCCGTTCAGGTTACTGTTCCATGCTAGCCGATTACCAAAATCAATACGACCCAAACGCCCCAAACTGCTGCTGCCCTCTGTGCCAAGCAACGCCAGAAGACGTCTCTCATTTTCTCAGTTGCCCAAAACGCCGACCAAAAATTAAATCGATTGATCTCTGGCTAAACCCTTCCAAAGTGGTGACACAACGCCACCTATAAACAGAAAGTGCGAGGAAAACAACAACGATAGTGACGATGGTAATGATGTTTTTGATGGTGACTACAATGATGTTGGCGACGGAGGCGCCGCTGACTCTTAAAAGAGATGATGACGGTGACGATGATAGTGACGACGATAATGGAAATGATGGTGACGATGATGATGGTGACGATGATGATGGTGATGGAGGCGCGGCTCACTCTTGACGGGAATGATGAGTTGCGGGATGACGGGGAGGACCTTGGCGGCGCCGTGCTCCAGGAGGTCGTGCACGCCCTGGCGCGCAAAGAACTCGTAGGGGTGCGCCGTCTCGCAGAGGCCATCGAAGAAGAGCGGCAGGTAGTGGTGGTAGTCCAACTTCTCAATCTCCACCTGGGGAAAGGCGCTCGCTAACTCATCGGCTCACAGTCGTCTGCCTACTCCCCCACAGTCTGCCTACTCCTTGACATTCTGCCTACTCTTCACGTTTGCCTACTCCCCCACAGTCTGCCTACTCCCCCACAGTCTGCCTACTCAATTGACATTCTGCCTACTCTTCCAGTTTGCCTACTCCCCCACAGTCTACCCGGGTTGAGGCCAGGGTTGGTGGATCACGCAAGTGTTGTGGTGGTTCCGCCTCCTGGCGCCTCTGAGTCGTCATCCCCCCTCTCTGTCTCTCGAGGAGCGCGCGGACGCCGCGTGCCGGCGGTGACTCTGCTCCACCGTTACCGTCCCAAGCATCTCCGGCAAACGGCGCTCTCCTGGTTCCCCCTCTCACCTCTCGCACCCCCTCCCAACCCCCACCGTATCTGCGTACGGAGATCGCCTCGCGACTAGAAACACCGCGTGCCCAGCGGTGCCACGAGGACCCCTCCTCGGCACCCTCCCCCCTTGCCTCTTCCCCATCTCCGACCGAGTCCACCTCCTCCGACCGCCCATCACCAACGCGCGGCGACTCCACACGCCCAGCGGCGTGGCCACCGCCGCCTCACTGGGCCCCGATCCCCACGTGTCCCGCGCGCACGACGCGGCCTCAGCCTGCACCCGCAGCTCAGCGGCGATACCGAGCCTCAAGTCCTCCTCCCCTTCCACCACCCACCGCTGTGCATACCCCCCAACTCCGCACGTTCACGGGGGATCTGCATGCCCCCCCGGTCACCTTCCACGCGATGCGGTTGCCCTTGGTGTCGTGCTCCAGGGCGATGGGGAAGTCTCCCCGCTCGTAGAATTTGCGAAACGCCGTCGGCTTGGAGGGGCGCTCGCGGAACGCGCCCGCCGACGGGGGGCCCAACACCTGGGACGAGGGGGGGGACACGTGTGAGACACGCAGGGATGGGGGAGGAAGGGAGGCACGTGGAGAATGTGGTTACAGGTGAACGGTACGGGGGGGGGGGGGGGTATAGGTGCGAGTAGGAGACACGACGGGGGGCACATTGTGTGCGCATGTCTGTGTGTGGGTGTGCGTGTCTGTGTGTGTGTGTGTCTGTGTATGGGTGTCTGTGTGTGTGTCTGTGTGTGTCTGTGTGTGTGTCTGGGTGTCTGTGTGTATGCACGCTCGAATAGTGCAGTGGTTGGCGCGCTGCTCTTCGGACCCGGCGACCAGAGTTCGATTCCTGCGCATGGCCAACACCGGTGACCATTATCTGAACCGGTCATGGGCCTCTCCGAGGTTGACTCAGCCTGAAATGTATACGTGGTGTGGTGTGTGGTGCTGGCTACCCATGCCCTCGTGTGCCGCGCCAGCCTTCGTAGGAGCTCCCGAACAGCACTTGCCCCAAAAGTCTGTTGTCCACAGAGACCGCCTTCCTACTAGTTTATTGTCCTTCCCCCGCACCTTCGATTAGCACGGTTGGCTACGTACGGTGCGAAAGAAGTTCAGCGCACATACGAGGCTAAACCGGGGGGGGGGTGGTCTTTATTTGTGTGTTTCTAATCGATAGTGGGAGGGGTGGTGCAATGGTGTGTCCATGTAATATCGTGCATGGCCAGCTTCCACCAACTCACACATCTCCCACAACCATCATCGTCGCCATTATAGGATTGTCAACTCAAATTCGTACACATCACTGGCGTCAAATCATCACCACCATTACACCACCAGCAGCATTACTACCATCACCAACATGACCATTATCCCCCATTTTCATAGCTAACATCACTGCTACCATCACCACGATAACCACACTTCCCCATCACCACCACCAGCACACCACCACCATTGTCAACACTACTCCATCACCAGCACCATCACCACAACCAAGATTACCTATACTACAATCACCGCCACCACCACCACAGCACCACCAACGCTATTCACACAACCATCACCAACATCATGCTATCATCATAGCCACCATCAACATCACCGCTACCACCACCATCACCAATATTACCACCACAACCCCATCACTAACATCACCACCCCTATCAACGTTGTCTTCACTTCCAACACCACCACCCCTCTAACAAAATCACCACTACCATCGCCAAAACCACCATCACGCGGGTATCACCGCCGCGACCATCACTACCAACAACATTACCCCCACAACGACATCACCAACATCAAAGACAAAGATCCCCCGTACTAGCCTTAACTGTAGGGGCAAGTGCTGTTAGCGAGCACCTATAGAGGCCGACACGGCACACGAGGGGGTGGATGGCCAGCAGCAAGCCCGGCCGCCTTTGTCTCCCGAGTGGCGGTCTACACACCGTACCAGGTACTCATTTGAGGCTGAGTCGACCTAGCGGAGGCCCAGGGCCGGTTCAGATAATCGTCACTGGTATTGGTTTTGTACGACTGTCATGTTTGTGCATTGTTGTTGTAACGTTCTTACCCGCCCCTACTGGGCATCTGTGAAAAAAGAGCTTTACAGCTCATCGGATTCCTCCTGCAGTGTAAATAAATATTCTGATTCTGATCCCGGTCGCCGGATTCGTAGCGCAGCGCACTGACCACTACACCACCACTCCGCACCACTACCATCACCACCACCACCATCACCACCATCACTACCACCACCACTCCGCACCACCACCATCACCACCACCATCACTACCACCACCATCACTACCATCACCGCCACCGTCACCACCACCACCACCGTCATCACCACCACCGTCATCACCACCGTCATCACTACTCCGCACCATCACCACCATCATCATCACCACCACCATCATCACCATCACCACCACTCCGCACCACCAACATCATCACCACCATCATCACCACCACCACCATCATCACCATCACCACCACTCCGCACCACCAACATCACCACCACCATCATCACCACCGTCATCACCACTCCGCACCATCACCACCATCATCATCACCGTCATCACCACCACCATCACCACCATCATCACTACCACCACCATCACCACCATCATCACCACCATCACCACCAACATCACCACCACCGTCATCACCACCATCATCACCACTCCGCACCACCACCATCACCACCACCATCATCACCATCACCACCACCATCATCACCATCACCACCACCATCATCACCACCATCATCACCACTCCGCACCACTACCATCACCACCACCATCACCACCACCATCACCACCACCATCATCATCCCCACCACCACCATCACCACCACTCCGTACCACCAACATCACCACCACCACCATCATCACCATCACCACCATCATCACCACCACCACCATCATTACCATCACCACCACCACCACTCCACACCACCACCATCATCACCACCACCATCACCACCATCACCATCACCACCACCACCGTCATCACCACTCCGCACCATCACCACCATCACCACCACCACCATCACTACCACCACCATCACCACCGTCATCACCACCATCACCACCATCATCACTACCACCACCATCACCACCATCATCACCACCACCACCATCACCACCACCAACATCATCACCACCACCATCATCACCATCACCACCACTCCGCACCACCAACATCACCACCACCACCACCACCGTCATCACCACCATCATCACCACGCCGCACCACCACCATCACCACCACCATCACCACCATCATCACCACCACCATCACCACCACCATCATCATCCCCACCACCACCATCACCACCACTCGGTACCACCAACATCACCACCACCATCATCACCACCACCACCACCACCATCATTACCATCACCACCACTCCACACCACCACCATCATCACCACTACCATCACCACCACCACCATCACCACCACCATCACCACCACCACCATCACCACCACCATCACCACCATCACCACCAACATCACCACCATCACCACCACCACCGTCATCACTACCGTCATCACCACTCCGCACCATCACCACCATCACCACCACCATCACTACCACCACCATCACCACCATCATCACTACCACCACCATCACCACCACCAACATCACCACCACCATCATCACCATCACCACCACTCCGCACCACCAACATCACCACCAACACCATCATCACCATCACCACCATCATCACCACCACCACCATCATCACCATCACCACCACCATCACCACCATCATCACCATCATCACCACCACCATCATCACCATCACCACCACCATCACCACAACTCCGCACCACCAACATCACCACCACCATCATCACCATCACCACCAACATCACCACCATCACCACCACCATCACCACCATCACCACCATCACCACCAACATCACCACCATCACCATCACCACCACCATCACCACCACCACCACCATCACCACCACCATCACCACCACCATCACCACCACCATCATCATCACCACCACTATCACCACCACCATCACCACCACCATCACCACCACCACCATCACCACCATCACCACCACCACCACCATCACCACCATCACCACCACCACCATCACCACCATCATCACCACCATCATCACCACTCCGCACCACCACCATCACCACCAACACCATCACCACCATCACCACCACCACCATCACCACCATCACCACCACCACCACCATCACCACCATCACCACCACCACCATCACCACCATCATCACCACCATCATCACCACTCCGCACCACCACCATCACCACCATCACTACCACACGGATCTCACCACGGCGTTCTTCATCCTGGCCTTCACCGTGAAGCCCTGGGTCACAGCGCCATCTCCACTCCTGCCGCTGCTGCTGCCTCCTCTCATCACCTCCATGGCCAGGGGCATCGCCACTGCACACACGGGAGGGGGTGGGGAGATGCGGAGGGAGATGATGGGGGGGGGAGACGTGGGGGAGGGAGATTCATTATACACGGAGGCGATGGTGGGGGGGGGTCAGAAGGGAGATGTAAGAGAGATGTAAGGGAGATGGAGGAGAGAGGCTGTACACCACAAGGGAGATGTAAGAGAGATGTAAGGGAGATGTAAGCGTACCACAAGGGAGATGTAAGGAAGATGTAAGGGAGATGTAAGGGAGATGTAAGGGAGATGGAGGAGAGAGGCTGTACACCACAAGGGAGATGTAAGGAAGATGTAAGGGAGATGTAAGTGTACCACAAGGGATACGTAAGAGAGATGTAAGGAGATGTAAGGGAGATGTAAGGGAGATGTAAGCGTACCACAAGGGAGATGTAAGGGAGATTTAAGGGAGATGTAAGGGATACAGAAGAGAGATGTAAGGGCGATGTAAGGAAGATGTAAGTGTACCACAAGGAAGATGTAAGGGAGATGTAAGCGTACCACAAGGGAGATGTAAGGGATACATAAGAGAGATGTAAGGGAGATGTAAGAGAGATGTAAGAGAGATGTAAGAGAGATGTAAGGGAGATGTAAGAGAGATGTAAGAGAGATGTAAGGAGATGTAAGGGAGATGTAAGAGAGATGTACGTGTACCACAAGGAAGATGTAAGGAGATGTAAGAGAGATGTAAGAGAGATGTAAGAGAGATGTAAGGGAGATGTAAGAGAGATGTAAGAGAGATGTAAGGAGATGTAAGGGAGATGTAAGAGAGATGTAAGTGTACCACAAGGAAGATGTAAGGAGATGTAAGAGAGATGTAAGTGTACCACAAGGAAGATGTAAGGAGATGTAAGAGAGATGTAATGGAGATGTAAGAGAGATGTAAGGGAGATGTAAGAGAGATGTAAGTGTACCACAAGGAAGATGTAAGGAGATGTAAGAGAGATGTAATGGAGATGTAAGAGAGATGTAAGGGAGATGTAAGAGAGATGTAAGTGTACCACAAGGGAGATGGAGACGCTCAGAGGGAGCTGCGCGCGGCAGAGGAGCGAGCGGCGCCGTTGGCGCGGCCGTTGTCACGGCGCCAGTTTGTCAACACCGGTTGCCATGGCGACCGTCGCCACCTTGGCAACGGGGCCACGTCACCCGACCCCCTCCCCACCAAACTCCCCCCTCCACCAGCCCCTCCCACCAAGCGCCTGCACTCATCACCGCTAATTGCCTATTAATTCCATCTGAATTACATCTGAATTACATTTTAATTACATTTCAATTGAAAACGATCACCGCTGCGGGTGGCCCCCCGGGTGTCGTTGACACGCGCAGAGCAAACAGCCCCTCGAAGTTTATTCTTGGTTCTTTCGGTAAAATCACCACGTAGAAGGGAAACAATAAAATAATAAAAAATATATAAAACAATTAAATTCTCACGACGTTTCGACTGCAACACAAGCAATCATCATCAGGTGTGAAAACCACAACAAGAAAATTTATGGACGGCCCCTTATCCAATGTGCTTTACAACCATTATACATATTCTTAGTTCTTTCGGTAAAGTCACGTTGAAGGGAAACAATAAAATAACAATATATATAAAACAATGAAAATTCTCACGACGTTTCGACCATAACAACCGTTTGTGTTATGGTCGAAACGTCGTGAGAATGTTTATTGTTTTATATATATATTTTATTGTTTCCCTTCAACGTGACTTTACCGAAAGAACTACGGATATGAATTACTGCAGTCACGAAAGCTTTAAATCAAAATTTAACCATTATACAATTGGGATGATCGTGGTTGAGATATAATTAAGAGTCGTGGGGTTATTAAAAGTCGTGGTGTAGTTGTACGGTACGACAATGTATGTTGAACTTCTTTCGTACCGTACGCAGCCAACCACGCTAATTATGGTGATAAGAGAACAGGTGGGAGTGGTTAAGGAGGGGTGTGGGGTAGTGATAGAGGTAGTTATAGGGGTAGTGAAAGGGGTAGTTATATTGGTTGGGGTAGTGATAGGGGTAGTGATAGGGGTAGTTATAGTGGTTGGGGTCGTGATAGGGGTAGTGATAGGGGTAGTGATAGGGGTAGTGATTGGGGTAGTGGTTGGGGTAGTTACAGGGGTAGTTATAGGGGTAGTGATAGGGGTAGTTATAGTGGTTGGGGTAGTGATAGGGGTAGTTATAGGGGTAATGGTTGGGGTAGTTATAGGGGTAGTGACAGGGGTAGTGATAGGGGTTGGGGTAGCGATAGGGGTAGTGATAGGGGTAGTTATAGGGGTAGTCATAGGGGTTGGGGTAGCGATAGGGGTAGTGATAGGGGTAGTGACAGGGGTAGTGATAAGGGTTGGGGTAGTGATAGGGGTTGGGGTAGTGATAGGGGTAGTGATAGGGGTTGGGGTAGTCATATTGGTTAGGGTAGTGTTAGTGATAGGGGTAGTGATAGTGATAGGGGTAGTGGTTGGGGTAGTGATAGGGGTAGTGATAGGGGTTGGGGTAGTGATAGGGGTAGTGATAGGGGTAGTGATAGGGGTAGTGATAGGGGTAGTCATATTGGTTGGGGTAGTGATAGTGGGTGGGGTAGTGCTAGTGATAGGAGTAGTGATAGTGATAGGGGTAGTGATAGGGGTAGTGGTTGGGGTAGTGATAGGGGTAGTGATAGGGGTTTTGGTAGTCATATTGGTTAGGGTAGTGTTAGTGATAGGGGTAGTGATAGGGGTAGTGATAGTGATAGTGGTTGGGGTAGTGATAGGGGTAGTGATAGGGGTTGGGGTAGTGATAGGGGCAGTGATATGGGTTGGGGTAGTCATATTGGTTGGGGTAGTGATAGGGGTAGTGATTAGTGGTTGGGGTAGTGATAGTGATAGGGGTTGGGGTAGTGATAGGGGTAGTGATAGGGGTATTGATAGGGGTAGTGATGGTGATAGTGGTTGGGGTAGTGATAGCGGTAGTGATAGGGGTAGTGATAGTGGTTGGAGTAGTGACAGGGGTAGTGATAGTGGTCGGGGTAGTGATAGGGGTAGTGATAGGGGTAGTGATATGCGTTGGGGTAGTGATAGTGGTAGTGATAGGGGTTGTGGTAGTGATAATGGGGTAGTGATTATTGGCTGGGGTAGTGATAGGGGTTGGGGTTATGATAGGGGTAGTGATAGGGGTAGTCATAGGGGTTGGGGTAGCGTAAGGGGTAGTGATAGGGGTAGTGACAGGGGTATTGATAAGGGTTGGGGTAGTGATAGGGGTTGGGGTAGTGATAGGGGTTTGGGTAGTGATATGGGTCTGGGTAGTGATAGGGGTAGTGCTTGGGGTAGTGATAGGGGTAGTGATAGGGGTTGGGGTAGTGATAGGGGTAGTGATAGGGGTAGTGATAGGGGTAGTCATATTGGTTGGGGTAGTGATAGTGGGTGGGGTAGTGTTAGTGATAGGAGTAGTGATAGTGATAGGGGTAGTGGTTGGGGTAGTGATAGGGGTAGTGATAGGGGTTGGGGTAGTGATAGGGGTTGGGGTAGTGATAGGGGTAGTGATAGGGGTTGGGGTAGTCATATTGGTTAGGGTAGTGTTAGTGATAGGGGTAGTGATAGTGGTTGGGGTAGTGATAGGGGTAGTGATAGGGGTTGGGGTAGTGATAGGGGCAGTGATAGGGGTTGGGGTAGTCATATTGGTTGGGGTAGTGTTAGTGATAGTGGTAGTGATAGGGGTAGTAATAGTGACAGTGGTTGGGGTAGTGATAGGGGTAGTGATAGGGGTAGTGGTTGGGGTAGTTATAGGGGTAGTGATAGGGGTAGTGATAGGGGTAGTGAAAGGGGTTGGGGTAGTAATAGGGGTAGCGATAGGAGTAGTGGTTGGGGTAGTTATAGGGGTAGTGATTGGGGTAGTGATAGGGATAGGGGTAGTGATAGGGGTTGGGTTAGTCATATTGGTTGGGGTAGTGTTATCGATAGGGGTAGTGATACGAGTAGTGATAGTGGTTGGGGTAGTGATAGGGGTAGTGATAGGTGTAGTGGTTGGGGTAGTTATAGGGGTAGTGATAGGGGTAGTGATAGGGGTAGTGGTTGGGGTAGTTATAGGGGTAGTGATAGGGGTAGTGATAGGGATAGTGATAGGGGTAGTGATAGGGGTAGTGATAGTGATAGGGGTAGTGATAGGGGTAGTGGTTGGGGTAGTGATAGGGGTAGTGATAGGGGTAGTGATAGGGTTTGGGGTAGTGATAGGGGCAGTGTAGGGGTTGGGGTAGTAATAGGGTTTGGGGTAGTGATAGGGGCAGTGATAGGGGTTGGGGTAGCCATATTGGTTGGGGTAGTGTTAGTGATAGGGGTAGTGATAGGGGTAGTGGTTGGGGTAGTGATAGGGGTAGTGATAGGGATAGTGATAGGGGTAGTGATAGGGGTAGTCATATTGGTTGGGGTAGTGATAGTGGGTGGGGTAGTGTTAGTGATAGGGGTAGTGATAGTGATAGGGGTAGTGATAGGGGTAGTGGTTGGGGTAGTGATAGGGGTAGTGATAGGGGTAGTGATAGGGGTTGGGGTAGGGATAGGGGCAGTGGTAGGGGTTGGGGTAGAGATAGGGCTTGGGGTAGTGATAGGGGCAGTGATAGGGGTTGGGGTAGCCATATTGGTTGGGGTAGTGTTAGTGATAGGGGTAGTGATAGGGGTAGTGGTTGGGGTAGTGATAGGGGTAGTGATAGGGATAGTGATAGGGGTAGTGATAGGGGTAGTCATATTGGTTGGGGTAGTGATAGTGGGTGGGGTAGTGTTAGTGATAGGGGTAGTGATAGTGATAGGGGTAGTGATAGGGGTAGTGGTTGGGGTAGTGATAGGGGTAGTGATAGGGGTAGTGATAGGGGTTGGGGTAGGGATAGGGGCAGTGGTAGGGGTTGGGGTAGAGATAGGGCTTGGGGTAGTGATAGGGGCAGTGATAGCGGTTGGGGTAGCCATATTGGTTGGGGTAGTGTTAGTGATAGGGGTAGTGATAGTGATAGTGGTTGGGGTAGTGATAGGGGTAGTGATTAGTGGTTGGGGTAGTGGTAGTGATAGGGGTAGTTGATAGTGGTTGGGGTAGTGATAGGGGTAGTGATAGTGATAGGGGTAGTGAGAGGGGTAGTGATAGTGGTTGGGGTAGTGATAGTGGTTGGGGTAGTGATAGGAGTAGTTATAGGGGTAGTGATAGGGGTTGGGATAGTGATAGGGGTTGGGGTAGTGATAGCGGTTGGGGTATTGATAGTGATAGTGATAGGGGTAGTGATAGTGGTTGGGGTAGTGATAGGGGTAGTGATAGGGGTTGTGATAGGGGTAGTGATTAGGGTAGTGATAGGGGTAGTGATAGGGGTAGTCATATTGGTTGGGGTAGTGATAGTGGATGGGGTAGTGTTAGTGATAGGGGTAGTGATAGTGATAGGGGTAGTGATAGGGGTAGTGGTTGGGGTAGTGATAGGGGTTGGGGTAGTGATAAGGGCAGTGATAGGGGTTGGGGTAGTCATATTGGTTGGGGTAGTGTTAGTGATATTGGTAGTGATAGGGATAGTAATAGTGACAGTGGTTGGGGTAGTGATAGGGGTAGTGATAGGGGTAGTGATAGGGGTTGGGGTAGTGATAGGTGCAGTGATAGGGGTTGGGGTAGTCATATTGGTTGGGGTAGTGTTAGTGATAGTGGTAGTGATAGGGGTAATAATAGTGACAGTGGTTGGGGTAGTGATAGGGGTTGTGATAGGGGTAGTGGTTGGGGTAGTTATAGGGGTAGTGATAGGGGTAGTGATAGGGGTAGTGAAAGGGGTTGGGGTAGTAATAGGGGTAGTGATAGGGGTTGGGATAGTCATATTGGTTGGGGTAGTGTTAGTGATAGGGGTAGTGATAGGGGTAGTGATAGTGGTTGGGGTAGTGATAGGGGTAGCGATAGGGGTAGTGGTTGGGGTAGTTATAGGGGTAGTGATTCGGGTAGTGATAGGGATAGTGATAGGGGTAGTGATAGGGGTTGGGTTAGTCATATTGGTTGGGGTAGTGTTATCGATAGGGGTAGTGATACGGGTAGTGATAGTGACAGTGGTTGGGGTAGTGATAGGGGTAGTGATAGGGGTAGTGGTTGGGGTAGTTATAGGGGTAGTGATAGGGATAGTGATAGGGGTAGTGATAGGGGTAGTGATAGTG